CAAGGCTTCCTGCACTCAAGCAGAAGCTGCGTCAGATGTTCGGCTTCCAAAAAATGTTCACAAACCGGAACACTCACTTCTGGGTTTGCAGCGTTCAGAAGCCAATTTGTTCAGGAGCCAAGCTGTTTGAGTACCAAGGTACGGCTGTATTAATTTCTAAGAGGTTTTCTTTCACAGCTAGTGTTAGGAACACATAGAAGCGGGCACATGATTGGCTTGTGCTTAAATTTAATGACATGTGAAGGAGAAAATGCTAGGGAAAAATGAGGGGGACAAGCTTTCTGAAGTAGGCAACAAGCGACAAAGCAGACACATTGAGAAATCCATTTGTAAATTCAAAACAGCAAGGTATTTCTCCGCTACTTCTGCTACTAAAGAATGGGCGCTGCCATTGTAGAAAAAGAAACTCCACTGTGTTTTGTTATTTAAGCTATTGATAATCCTTGGGTTTAAATATCCAGTGTGATCAAACTCAGTCACACTTTAATACAAATAAATTAAGAAAGGCTGTTATGGCCTGGCATCCAAGCTGTGGGAAGTGTACATAATGTACACAATGTTCCTGCAGATCCTTGTGGGTCAGAGTGGGAATGCACTACTGCTGGAATATCACACGGGTCTAAAGTATCACTGCCACATCAGGGGCAATTTTTTGGAGCATTTTTAAAACTCACTTTCCCACTTAGGAAGGGATCCAGGGCAACTATCAAACGGAAAGTAAAACAGAAAAGTAAAACAATCACTTCCCTGAGCATCAGCTATTTTGATTCTGTAGCAACTGGGAATTTGACTCCATTGAGGATTTTGCTACTCTTGATCTCACCTAGTTAAGTTCCAAGTGGGCAATCTGCTGTGAGAAAAATCAGAGAATCAGAGAAGTGTAGAATTGGAAGGGACCACAAGGCCCATCTAGTCCAGCCCCCTGCAATGTAGGAATCTCAGCTGAAGCATCCATGACAGATGTCCATCCAACATCTGCTTAAAGACCTCCAATGAAGGAGAGTCCATAACTCTCTTTCACACAAAGGTGTGGCTCTTCTGTACTTCCGTGAAACAAGTGGGGTATGCAAGGAGAATGTTAAGGTCTAAAAAGAACACACTGTCCAATTATTCCATTTGGAATCATTATGAGTAATTAATCTGAATTTACTCCGTCCTTCTGCTGCTGCCAGCTCACTTCTTCAAGCGGTAAATCTAATTTAACTTAACGTACTGTAAGGTTTGCAGTTCGTAAGGACATAAGAAACGTCGAGCTGGCTCAGGCCAGAGGTTCATCTGGATCAGAATCCTGTCCTCACAGTGGGGAACCAGATCCCTGTATGAAACCCACAAGGAGAACCCGATTGCAACATTACTCTCGGTCCTACTCATTCCCAGCAGGTAGCATTCAGTGGCAGGCTGTCTCCCACAGTGGAGGGAGGAGCATTAGTGTAAGAGGAACTTAGAATCATGGAATTGTAAAGTTAGAAAAGTTCATCTAGTGCAGCCTGGGGTGGGGTGGCGGGAGATCAACTAAGTCTGCAATTCTGTGTACATATACACAGTCCCAATGAACTCACTGAGACTTGAATCCAAGGAAACATGCATAAGACTGTGCTGTAGGGATGGAGAGGAACTGTAGTTTCCATTTGCATTTAAATGCAAACCCACAGAAGATGCACTTTCTGAAACAATACATGAACCAAACCACAGCCATCTTATCGAAATTCGCATTTCTCTGAATTTTGCAATGCAGTTCTCTAACCAAGTAACATGTATTAAAATGCAAATGAGGCAATAGTGTGCATAAAAATGCACATGTTTGTGAAAAGAACATACAAAGGACATTATATTGGAGGAAATTATTTTCCATAAATGTTATACCTTGGAAAGTCACATACAAACATGCATATTATGAGAAGTTTGCACTAAAAAACTGATGAATTTTTATTAAAAAAAATCGCGCACACACACACCGATGTGAAAATATGGAAAACTGAACTTAAGACTGCAAATATGAGAAACTGAAATTGTCAGATTCACCCTTCCTAACTGCAAGGTGGCAGTCCTATACAGTTTTACTTGGGAATAAGTCCCACTGAAGTTAACGGAACTTATTTTTCAGAGCTGCACTTTTCACAAAAACCACGGTTTTAATGTGTAGTCATAGTTCTGTTCCATGAGGGTCATAGGAGGCATGCCTCTTGGAGCATTTTTGCACAGGATGCAAACATCTGTTTACCCACTTTTCATACCTGCACTTCAAACATCATACCTACATTGAGCAGAGGGCACATACATTCCAGCTGAAAAATGACTCTCCTCCACCTTCTATGTCACATAACTTTTTACAGGTATGCAGAAAGGAAGCGAAACAGCTCTTTCTGTGCTGTGGGTGAAACACCATTTTATAACTCCCAGCTCTGCCACAGAAGCCTCCCATCCTGCAGAAACTCCCCATAAGAAATAATAATAATAATAACAATAATAATAATAATAATAATAATAATTTTTTATTTATACCTTGCCCTCCCCAGCCAAGGCCGGGCTCAGAGCGGCTTACAAGCAATAATAAAAACAAGATGAATGATTACAACTTAAAAACAAAAATAAAATACAACATTAAAATAATGGAACATTAAAATATTAAAATGTAGCCTCATCGCAGGAGGAGAAGGAAAAGAAAAAGAAAGAGAGGGAGGGAGGGAATCAAATTGGCTCCAAGCCAAAGGCCAGGCGGAACAACTCTGTCTTACAGGCCCTGTGGAAAGAAATCAGATCCTGCAGGGCCCTGGTCTCATGAGGCAGAGCGTTCCACCAGGCCGGTGCCAGAGTTGAAAAGGCCCTGGCTCTGGTTGAAGCCAATCTAACTTCCTTAGGGCCTGGGACCACTAGGGTGTTGTTATTTATGGACCTTGAGGCTCTCCGTGGGGCATACCAGGAGAGGCGGTCCCGTAGGTACGAGGGTCCGAGGCCGTGAAGGGCTTTAAAGGTCAAAAGCAGCACCTTAAATCTGACCCTGTACTCCACCGGGAGCCAGTGCAGCTTGAAAAGCACTGGGTGAATATGCTCCCATGGCAGAGACCCCGTGAGGAGACTCGCTGCAGCATTCTGTACCCGCTGGAGTTTCTGGGACAGCTTCAAGGGCAGCCCCGCATAGAGCGAATTACAGTAGTCAAGCCTGGAGATGACCGTCGCATGGATCACTGTGGCCAGGTCAGGGCGGGAAAGGTAAGGGACCAACTGCTTGATGCGGCGAAGGTGGAAAAATGTCGCCTTGGCTGTTGCTGTAACTTGCGCCTCCATGGAAAGGGAGGCGTCAAGGATTACACCCAAACTCTTAACGGAAGGCAATGGCACTAATTGGGCCCCCGCAAGAGAAGGGAGTTGGTCCCTCATCCCCATGCCATCCCGAATTAGCCATAGGACCTCTGTCTTCGAAGGATTTAGTTTCAATCGGCTCCCACGAAACCATCCAGCCACAGCTTCCAAGCATCTGGTCAGTGTGTTCGGGGCTGAGTCGGTGTGGCCATCCATCAGCAGATAGAGCTGAATGTCATCAGCATATTGGTGACAGCGCAGCCCAAAGCTCCGGATAATCTGGGCAAGGGGGCGCATAAAGATGTTAAAAAACATCGGGGAGAGAATTGCACCCTGCGGCACTCCACACACCAAGGAGTGGCGCGACGACATTTCCCTCCCTAATGCCACCCTCTGTCCCCGACCAGAGATAAAAGAGCACAACCAGTTACGGGCTATGCCCTGTATCTTCACGTCTGCGAGGCGGTGGTCCAGAAGATCATGATCGACCATGTCAAAGGCTGCTGACAAATCTAAAAGGATCAGCAGTCCTGACCCGCCTCGATCCAGTTGTCTACGGAGACCATCTGTTAGGGCAACCAGAGCCATCTCCGTCCCAAAACCAGGACGGAAACCGGACTGAAATAGATCTAATGCCGATGTTTCCTCCAGAAACCTACCAAACTGTTCAGCAACTGCTCTCTCAATTACCTTACCCAGGTATGGAAGATTTGAAACTGGGCGGTAATTGGATAGGTCTAAGGGATCTAATGAAGTTTTCTTTAAGAGTGGACACACCACTGCTTCCTTCAGTTCCCCTGGGAATGTCCCCGTGTCAAGGGACAAATTGATAATTTCAACCAGGGGGGTCCGCGCAACATCTGGACACTCCCTAATCAGCCAAGACGGGCACGGATCAAGGAGGCAAGCGGGCATCCATTTGCCATTTTTAATGATAATGGGTGATGCTCCACATTGGGTTGTGTTAAACTTTTATTCAGAGCAGAAAGTTGTTGGCCATGACTAGCTTGGGTCTGTTCATTTCAACAGGTCTACTCTGAGTAGAAGTTACTTGGATGCAGCCCATTGTGTCCCTCAGTTCCGGATATTTTGTGCCTCAGAGATGCTTTGGTTCTCTGTTTTCTAAGAAGTCCAGAAGTGTCTTTACAATGAGAAGCCTTCCATGTCCATATTCCTTCGGCAGCAGGCAGTTGCTACCGGTAAGCGTGAACGAAGCGAACGGTTGAACGAGGCAAAAGAGAACATGATCCCATCAGAGCAAATATTCCCTCCACACCAAGAGAAAAATTGTGGCTGTAAGGCAAACTCTGAGGTCCGGCAGAAGTGCTGTTAAGTGAATGACAAGACATACAAACAAGTGCCTGTCACCTAGAGATTCGCTCTGGGAACACAGAGCGTTATGCCTAGGGGTCTGGGAGATGAAGGAGAGAAGAATTACTCATCCGCAATTACAATATCGTAATGAATTTTTAACTTTGTTCCACCCAACTCCACCCCCCGGCATAACAAACGCCCTTGAGGCACCAAACTGCAAATGGACACCGTGTTGAATTAGGAGAGGGGGGAGGCAGGGATGAAAAGCTGTTGAAATTGAGATCCGCTGAGTTGACAAGAAAAAAATAAATGCCACAGGTAGGAGGCATTACAAAAGCAACACCCTCACAACCCTATATATAAAAGGCAGAGGAAACTGCCCTGTTAGCACACTGCCTGTCTGTCTGTCTTTCCTGATTCTCTTTCAACTTTTCCTCGCTGCTTTTTGGCATCCCTCAGCTAACATGTCTACTCGGATATCGACCTCCTCGAGGAGAATTTCTTCCTTTGTCAGTGGGGACGGAGGTGCCAAAATGGGCAGCGTTGGAGGAGGCAGTCTGTACGGTTTTGGCGGGGGGTCCATGGTCGCTCTAGGCAGTGGCTATGGAGGGGCTGCATGCGGTGGGTTTGGTGGACCTGGCTTTGCAAGCGGAGTTGGCTTCGGCGGGGGGTCTGGCTTTGGTGGCGGGGCTGGCTTTGGCGGCGGGGCTGGCTTTGGTAGCGCCTCCGTGGGAGGCGGTGGCTACGGAGCCAGCTACCGCTCCAGCTCGGCAGTGTCCTTGGGTGGCGGCTATGGAGGGGCCGACAGCGTCTTCCTGGCTGGGGCTGAAAAGGAGACCATGCAGAACCTCAACACCCGCCTGGCAAACTACCTGGAAAAGGTGCGCTCTCTGGAGGAGGCGAATGCCGAGCTCGAGCTGAAGATCCGCCACTGGTATGAGAAGAATGGGCCCGGGGCTCCTGGAGTGACCCGCGATTACAGCAAATATCACCAGATCATTGAGGATCTGCGCAACCAGGTGAGGAAACAAACGCTGGGTAGAAGCATCCCCTAAGTCACACCTAAACGAATGGAACCTGTGTGAGGGATTTGCTATTGGACATCTCCCCTGCAATTCTGCACAGCTTGTTAAAGTGGCATTGGAGGAGCCAATTATGTACAAAACGAGATAATGTGCATATATGTGACTGTATACTAAAGCAAGCAGATCAAGATGACGAATTTTTAAAAATTGCTTTACTTGTTTTATCACTCATAAATGTATGCAGTGTAATCGGGGGGGAAGTTCAACATGGAGGGTTTTTCTTTCTTTCTCAGCACTAGGAACCCAAATGCAAAATTATAATAGGATGAAACTGGCATAGGCATAGAAAGCTGCCTTATGCCCAGTCATTTCGTTGGTCCAGGCAAGCCAGTAGCTATGGCTCTCTGGGGCTTTAGAGTGGAGTTTTTCCCAGCCTTACCTGGAGATACCAGAAAATGAACTCAGGGACATTTTTTACAAGTGAAGCACACGGCTACAATCCTCAGTTACAAGCCTCAATCTGCTTAAGCAAGATGGGGTGCCCAATCCTTTAAAACTCTAATGAATGACATTTCTTCAGAACGATACCATTCTGAATTACTGGTACTTATTTCTGTTAGCAATAGAGGTCTTGTCCACATATTAATTCAATAGAAGGACTGGAATAGAAGCCAAATTAGTCTTGGTTTGTTTGTTTGTTTGATCATCAAGTTCATGTAACAGGAGAAATCCAGATGAAATTCAAGTGCTTTAGCTGAATAATTGTTGTAAAAGCTAACATCGTCTATTCTTATTCTTCATATTCAAAACATTGGGGAGATTTATTTATTTTTTTAAGTCAGTTTTTATTTGCACTACTCTACAAATCAACCCTGATTATGTACGAAATGCATTAGCTGTTAATCTGGAAGTGGGCATTTTCCCCACACAAAATAACCTTGTTTTATTCTTTTAATATTTCGTTCCAGATCGTCAATGTGACCATTGACAATGCCAATGTAGTCTTACAGATTGACAATGCCAGGCTGGCTGCTGATGACTTCAGACTGAAGTAAGCTAAATGCAAAACTTTTCTGCTTTTTTTTTTTAAGCAAAATGTTGGTTCTTAAGTTTTGCACCCCACTCCTTTCAGTAGCATTGGGTCATTGGGGTCTACTTAATTCACCAATAATGTAATGCAAGTTTGAAATCAAAACCCCACCTCTAATGCTATGGTCTGTTAAAACTGGGCGAATTTGGTAATTATCAGCTACGTAGAAAAATGAGTAGAGATACATAATGCTACTTCTTCTGCTAGACACAGTAAGACTATAGTGATACATATGATATCAAGTCCACCTTCTACCAACCCAAATGTTTGTTTGCTTTTGTTAGGATCCAGTGAAATAAAACAGTGCTGGGACGAGCTGGGTTTTGAAGCCCTGTCTCCCAGGTGCAGATCTAACAACTCATCTGCTGGCTCTTAGTAAATATCTGCTGTAATTATCTTAGAGTCCAAAGGGATCTCACTAGGGCATCTATCAAATCCCCTCCAGCTCCCAGCAGCCTTCCATGCCCCATCCCACATGGTTTGGAAGTTCCCATAAAGGATTTTGGGGTGACTTCAGAGGGTGGCCAGGATGCAAAACTCGCCTTCTGTGTACATTCTTGCAGGAGTGCCAGCTTGGCTCCGGGGCCGTGGGTACCCGGGGCCATGGGTATCATGCAGCATGCATGGACCTGGCACCGAAATTTGTGGGTGCCCAGCCTCTTCATGGGGAATTTTGTGGGTGCTTAGGACCCCAGGAAGTTGGCACCTCTGCTTCCTTGAGTTAAGCTCCTCGCTCTGGCCATTGAAAATTGAAGAACTGATAAGCTCACTGTAATGGACTTTAGGGCTATGGGGCTAAGGATCTGTCTTTGTGCTGCATTTGTTGTGTTTGTGTAAGCTACATAACCCACCCTGGGACCTTCTGGTGAAGGGCGGTTAAGAAACACAATAAAGAATGACAATGTTGCAAGCGCCTTCGTTCCTGATCTTGCCGTTTCGTTTGCTGTCTTTACAAGCGGCTAATCTGAGCCATCTCCATATATATCTCATAGCTTTGTATGCTCACTTGCCCCTTTCAGGTTTGAGAACGAGCTCTTCCTTCGCCAGAGTGTTGAAGGAGACATCAATGGTCTGCGCAGAGTGCTTGACGACTTGACCATGAACAGGTCTGACCTGGAAGCACAGCTTGAAAGCCTCACAGAGGAACTAGCATACCTTAAGAAGAACCACGAAGAGGTAACCAAGTTTTGTTCCACCACCATCACCCCTTTTCAGTAGTTTTTCACTCTAATCCAGTCCAAAGGCAGGACTGTGTGAGTCTTTGGGATGCAGGACAAGTGCCTAGCACAGTGCTGCAGATCAAAACGTTTGTTTAGACAAAAGGAAGCTCAAATTCATTCCTTACTTAGCCCCAAAGTTTACTAGAGTACCTCCTAGGCAAGTCAACTTCTGCCTAACCTACCCCACATATTTAATTCAATTATAATAGTCCACCTAAATCCAAGATGCAGAATGAGGAACATCACAAATATTTCAACTTCTTGCATGAAGTCAATAGAAGAACAGTTTAATAATAAGAATAATAAGTACTTAAAACCAGCTTAGACAACCCTTCTTACAGTACCAGGTGTGGGCTTTCAAAAGCTTTCAGGAGGACGGAAGTGTAATTGTAAAAGCAAGGTGGTAAGACTTGTGAAATAATTCCACAGAAATTGTTGGGAAAGTGAGCAGGGACTAGCACAGAGTCCTGACTTTTCATCCATGTTTATTGGTTGGGTTAGCTCATATTATGCCATATGGATATGAAATCCTGTTACATCACCGTGCAGAAAGAATGAATAAATTCCATCACTCATCTTCAGTCTCTGACCGCATTTGTTACATCACACCATTGTGCTTGAGCACAAACGAGAAATCACGCGCTTATCAAAGACTCCATCTGAACTACCAGGAGATGACTATCTAAATTAAGTTCAAATTGTGCCATAAACTGCTTTAATGATTAGTGTGTGCTCTCTCCTAATGTCTACCCATCGCTGTGCCTGTGTGGTCCAATGTTACTACACAAAGTTATGATACACAGGGCTCTGTGGGCCCCGTAGCTTAGGCTGGGGCTACCCCCCAAAAAAATCTATAGGCAGAGCATCGTTTTACGCCTTCACTGTGTAAGGTAAAGCTGGCATATTTAGACTAGAATGGAGACAGGCGCTCCTGCAATTAACCCTCCATTCTTTGGGAACACCCTTCCCTTGCTTAGATTCCTTTATGCCTAGTGGGTGCTCCGGGGCCAGGCAGGGAGAATGGATCTTCCCTCAGAGCTTCCCAGGCCCTAAGGCTAGTTTCGGTAAATGAGATGCAGATCATTTTCTCTGTGATATTTGTCCTGGGAACAAATCCAAGAAAAATAAAATTAAGGATAATGGTTTACCAACTTCTGAAGATGCTGGCACTGGCTGTCATGAAAAGCTTAAGGTGGCTGTTTCATTGTCTCTACTTAGGATGGTAGTATACAAGTTTCATGGTTACAGGGGAACGGCCCGATACCTTGTGTATATGCTCAGAAAGATGGTTTCACAATTATTCATAGTACCTGGACAGAGCCCAAGTAAACTGAAATCAGGTCATTGGATTGAGCACTGGCTCGGCTGAAGGACCTGCCTAGTCCTTCTCTGAATACTCTCTTCACCAGATAATGCTTCAGTGCAGATGTTTTGGACTACAATATCCATCAACCCCAATGGTCAATGGTGAGAATGGCCAATGGTTGGGGATGGTGGGAGCTGTAGTCTAAAACATCTGAAGAGCATGAGGTTGGGAAGGGGTTTCTTAGACCATCTGCCTAACAAGGGCTGCCATCTATTGCAAAAATATAAAAGGCTATTATGAGACTTTCAATCCAGGAAGCCTTTTGAGCACTTAACAAAAAATTCTATACAAAACCTATGCTGTTGTGGTCATTTCCTGTGTAATAAAGACACGTTTACACACTGATAGCAGAGGATATGGGACCCCCCCCCCACACACACACAGACACACACCATGATACTCAGAGGTACCATAAGAAGAGAAAGACAATGCTTGGAACATTTTTGTACGAATTTTACTGTGGATGACGTCCTTCTAGATAAGAAGTTGATGAATCACTGTTTACTGACTTTACACTGCTTCATCATCTCAAGTTAACCTGCTTCTAATATTCTTGCCCAGGAAATTAACTTGCTGAGAAGCAGCTCTACGGGTGACGTCACAGTGGAAATGAACGCGGCTCCAGGAGTAGACTTGACTAAGCTGCTGAACGAAATGAGGGCGCAATATGAAGACCTCGCAGATCAAAATCGCAGAGAGGCGGAAGAACAGTTTCACAAAATGGTAAGATGGATGGGCGGCTGCTGAAAGCAAATTCTATTTGATGCATTGCATCAAGCAATATTCGCAACAAATGCATAGGGGAGGGCGGGAAAGAATGTGCACAAGATGACCGTCACATACAAAAATGTATTCTGTTAGCGGAATGTTTGCAAAAACATGTACATTACTCAACAATGTGTGCAAAAACCTGTTCATGCAAAGAAATACGCATTAAATGCTGATGAATTTTCATGAGGATTTTTTTTTTAATTGCAAATTGCTGCAGAAATATGGAGAGCTGAATTTAGGATTGGAAAGTGAGAAAGGGAGAGAACTGGAATTAACATATCCTTCCCCACCACCACTCCTCTTACCATTATACTGGACAGAATGAATCTGTATCAAATTCCTACATGCCAGAAGCACAGTTGTGACCAGTTGTGCATTACCTCCCCACAATGGGCAGAAAGAAGACCCATATTTGATGTCAAACTGCATAGGCTAATTTATACGTATAGGTGTAAATTTAGAAATAATACCTATAATGTAAACACAAATGCAACAATGCATCACACCATAGCGGTAAAGGCTATGATCAGGTGATCTGCATGCCCACTCACCAAGTGCTAACTGTTGATGGGCAACTTCAAAGCCCCCTGATGAACTCCCTACCTATTTTATCATTTAACTGGGCTTGAACTGGACAGTCCTTCAAAGAGAAGACTGCCCTCCATACAAGAGGAAAATATTTCGTGCCAAGTTACATCTTACTGATTTTTCTCCCACAGAGCCAACCACTGCAGCAACAGATCTACGATGACGCCGGCGCAGCAAACTCCGCCAGGAACGAGTTAATTGAGCTGAAACGCTCATTCCAGGCGTTGGAGATAGAGCTACAATCCCTTCTGGCTAAGGCATGTGCTTTGCATCTCCTTTTCCTTGGACTGCAGGGTTTTTGAAAGCAGGCTGAGTTCTCTTTGGAGGGCTCGGCTTTTGAGATAAATGTCATTTTAAAAAAAAACTGCTTCCAGATTCATAGTTTAAGGTGGAGTTATAGGCTGCAATCATAGAGAGTAGAAACCTCAAAGCAAAATCAATGCAGGCCCCAGAATCCTAGAAGCTCAGAGAACAGCAGGATGCTTCTCCCAGGATGCTTGGCTGCCAGTATCCAACACACTGCATCAGGATCAGATATGGTGATTTCTCTTCTATAGCCCCACACATGTCTGTAGTTTCTAGGAAGTCCAAGGGTAGCCAGTGTGGCACTCGCCAGATGTTGCTGGACAGGACTACAACTCTCATCATCCCTGACCATTGGCCATGTTGGCTGGGGCGGATAGGCGTTAGAATCCCAACATGCAGAGGTCACCATGATGGCTGCCCATGCCCAGTGTCTCCCAAACTTGGGTCTCAAGCTGTTTTTGGACTACAGTTCCCACCTTCCCTGACCACTGGTCCTGCAAGGTAAGGAGGATGGGAGTTGTAGTCCAAAAAATAGCTAGAGGCCCAAGTTTAGGAAACACTGCTCTAACCATTGTGGCGTAGCTAGCTAGCTTAGGTTGCAATCCTATGCACCCTCACAGGGGAGTAAGCCCCATTGCGCACAGTGAGACATACTTCTGAGTAAACATACCTAGCACAGCATGATGAGTAGCTTAGAATTACTAGGGAAAACTGGAGTCTCCTACCCTGTTTGCTGTCCATAATTCGAGTCTGGCCATTGCATTTCAAATAGGAATCGTACAGATTGCATTTATATTTGATACTAGGTTGATAAAATGCCAAAAAGCAAAACAAAACAAAACAAAACCCATGTGTACAGCAATTTCCAGGGACACACAAAATAGATATACCGACCCTCAGTTTTGGGGGAGCTGAACTTTATACTGGATGCTGAGCAAATGAAAATTTTCACCTTCATTAGCATGTAAGCAAGCCCTGCCTTCCTCTATTTCTCCCACCGACAGAAAGCTTCTCTGGAAGGCACCTTGCATGAAACCGAAGTCAACTACAGCACTCAGCTCTCACAGCTGCAGCACCAAGTGAGCAGCATCGAAGAGCAGTTGCAGCAGATCAGGTCTGAGACAGAGATGCAAAATTCAGAGTACCAACAACTGCTGGGTATCAAGACCCGACTGGAAATGGAAATTGAAACATACAGGCGCCTGCTTGACGGCGAGAGGTATGGGAATGATCTGAAAGTAAAGGGGAATCAAGCTGGGAGTCGCATGATGTTGGGTTCAAAGGGTCCCTTCCTCACACTTTTTTATTTTAAGCCAACGTGTTTGAAAAGGTGGAAGCAAACTTTAAGCATCAGTTGCTTCTTTTTCTGGTTTTTGTGTGGTCAGAAACTTGCTCCTAGCCCCCTAAACCCAAATATTCCAAAATAAAATTCGCAAAAGACCGCATTAAAAAGTCAACATTCCCACTTGAATGCAAAATCATCTCTCTGGTTCTCTATATATCACATCGACAAATGACAGATCACAGATGCAAAGTATTCCAGTTTTAATTGGGGAGGAGACCCTAAAAGATTCTGACCTGCTAAAGGTCATCCTTTGGTTCTTTTTAAATACTGTGTGGGTGCCAGCAAGAAAGAATCCTCCAGGAATACGAATGACACACCATGCAACTGTACTGAAAGCATTACTGCTTCCACAACCACTTCCTAAAAATATTTTTTTAAAATCTGCCAGTTTCATAAGAGTATTAACAAGTTATCATTGTGTTCCTTTTTGACAGTTTCCGCACTTACGAACCAAAAGTTCAAATCAGAGGTAATTACAATTTATTATTTCAGAGTAATGTTGTTTTGTATTTAAAAGGACAATGTATAAATCTGAAAATTGTGCCCTTATTTCCATAACAGGGGGGGGGGCATGCTTTAAGGTGGAACCAGAGGGAACCTAAGACTCTCTTTAGGTAGGACTGAAATATCTTCCCCCACACACACCTAAAACCCTGGAGCTCTGCTGCAAGCCAGTACAGACAATACTGAACTAGCTATTCCAGTGGTCTGACTCAATATAAGGCAGCTTCCGTGTTCTAGACTAGAGTCCCTTGCACTGAGCTGTTGGCTATTTGACTCTTCCACTGCCGTTGTCCCAGTGCCTGCTACTTGTAGAGGCTGCCAGCGCCACAGTCTCAGCCCCCGCCCTTCAAGGCTTTCTTAAATACGAACCCTGAAATTTGGGGTCTCCTCCCAACTGAGGCCAAAGTTTCATACCCGTTTTGTACTGTTTTGCACCATGAACCCCACATTTTGTACCACCTCCCAAGCTGGGTAAGTTGATACATCAAACTGGGGCTCGCCGTTAACGTCTAAAAACCCAATATTGTCTGGTTCACTCCAAACTGGTGCCAAAAATTTTGCACTTATTTTGTACCACCACCACTCCACAAGATGCTCAAAGCAGGGGCCATAGGTATCCCCCCCGAAACCCAACATTGTTCGATTCACTGCAAAGCGGTGCCCGGATTTTGCAATAGTCTCAAACCCTTTTTCGCCGCAAACCCCCCTGGTTTTGCACCACCGCCACCCCCAAGCTGAGTAATCCTTCAACTTTTCTGAGAACTGTAGCAAACAACCACAAGTAGCAGAGGCAGTAGACAAGTGACAGACACCCCTACCCCCCCAAGGCATCAAATCTAGTGATGAGCTGGCATATCTCACAATTCAATTGAACAATGTTGACTTAAGAGTATTTGCACTAGCCTTTATCCATACTGTCATGAGTCCCTTTCACTTCATCAGCTTCAACTCAAGGAGTGTGTTCAGAATTAACATGCTACCAGAGAAGTCGGAATGGATTTCAAAGGCCTTCAGCTCCCTGTGGGCAGAAAACTAATTATCACATTTAAAAAGAAAGAAAAAGAATTTAAAAAAAAATCAGTAAGCTCAGTTTGATAAAATGCACACCATTGCAGAATAAGCCTGAAATTAAAAAAAGAAGAAGAGAAAAGCAAACATTGGGAGGGAACGTTTAGTTAGATTGTATTCCTTTGGTAATCTGCATTCTGTTGAGTTTACAGAAAATCATGTGCCTGAATCCAAATAAAGAGTCAACAGAAGGAGAATAGAATAACCCTTGTGCCATACGTAGAATTCCCAGATAGAGAGCCAATGTGATTGGTGGTCAGAGTGTCCAACCTGGGAAACCAGGGTTCAAATCCTTACTTGAACATGAAACTCACTGGGTTGTCTTGGGCTGGTCGCTGTCTCTCGCAAGGTTGCTGTGGGGATTAAATAACAAAGGGGGGGAGAACCATGTAAGATACCTTGAGCTCCTTGGGGATATAAATAGAATAAGTAAATATATCCATTCGTGAGAAAGAAAGTCTGGGGAGAATGATTGCCCTAATGTTCCCAGCAGAAAAAAAGTGTGAGTACCAATCATGAGTCTCGACAAAAAAATTCCCCTGGTCTATCTTCTTCAGATCCTGTGGCCAACATATGTTGCCAGGACCATGACATATTTATTCATTCAGTGGCATATTCAACATGACTATTGTCCTGTCCCCACAAGGGATCTTTTTGCAGTCACTGTCTGGATGGCATTGTAAGATGTAACTGGCTGGCAAGAAAGTGACTAAAAGCTGACCCAAGTCTGAAGAAACTTGCCAGGTTTCTGTTGGCCTGCAGTCACAAAGCATTACTGATTAGTTAAATTGCTGTGGGATGCAACAAGCATTGCACATTGAAGCCTCCGTTGTTTGCTTGAAACAATATGTGTCTGGGCAGGAAGAGGTAAAGGATGACGTTCCGATGAATGTTGCTATTCTACACTAATGGCCAGGTGTTTGCATAATGGGGTAAAGCAATTTTAGGAGTGGTTTCGCTGCTATTACTCACTGCTGAATTGTTGCTGTTACAACTCTGTAGTTTAAATGATGTGTTGTTTTGTACGATTGCATATGTATTGGTTGTTAGCTGCCAAGAGCTCCAGACTGGAGGAAAGGCAAGATATAAACATCTTGAATGAAAGAGAAAATGAATTAATAAATCAACACTTAGTGCTTCTCCTCCAGCTCAACTCCAGTAGTTTCCCACATGTTGGGGAAATAGGCCATGTGAACCCATTTAGCGATATTATCAATGGTTAACTCTATCATCATTTTATTCCTTTCTCAGAGCCCCTCAAAACAAGGGTGGTGAAGACCATCGTTGAAGAAGTGGTGGATGGCAAAGTGGTCTCATCTCAAGTGAAATCAGTTGAAGAAAGAGCAACGAAGTGAACAGCATGAAAAGCAAAGCAGGGGGCCCTTCAACTCAGGCAAGCAAGGGAATACCCAAGTAGAAGAAAACCTCCTGGAACCAGAGTCAATTGTAGCTTAGTAGCTTCTTGCAAATATGGGCTCTAGAGAGGGGGAAATCCCACTCAATATGCTTTCTTAAAACTTTACAGAGGTTATGCTTTTAGAAATACTGAGAACTACATTCTGTTTACTGCCACAATGCAATAAACTTTCTTACTGTTGCAAGTAATATCTGACTTTGACTAGAATATTTTCAACCCTGGTGATCTTCTCCTTGTCCTTTCTATTTCTATATTATTTGTTGTGTTTACATCTTACCTTTCATCCAAGGAGCTCAAGGGGGCACACATGGATCTCTCACACCCTTCACATTATCCTCAAAACATCCTTGTGAGGTAGATTAGGCCCAGAGGCAGTGATTGGTCCAAGTTCACCCCATGGGTTTTGTGTCCCTGGCACCCACGTCATAGTTCAACACTTTAACCCAATGTTTCTCAAACTTGGGTCTCCAGCTGCTTTTGGACTACAACTCCCATCATCCCTAGCTAGCAAGATCAGTGGTCAGGGATGATGGGAATTGTAGTTCGAAAAGAGTTGGAGACCCTGGTTTGGGAAACCCTCCTCTAACCATTATGCGACGCTGGTAGACCTGTGGCCCTCTAGGTGTTGTTGAATGACAACTCCCATCACCCCAACTATGAGCCACACTGATTGCCGCTGATAGGAGCTTGAGTCCACGACATATGGGGGCCACCAAGTTGGCTAAGCACATTTGTTAGGGAGAAAGCCCAACTGAACACAGTGGGACTTGTTTCTTAGTAAATATCTTTAGCAAGATTGCTTAGCAAGTCAATTCATACTCTGCCTGGAATGGAGCCATTGTCTGTTTACTAAGGTTGTTTCTCACACACACCCAAGAGAAAGAGAGAGAGAGAATAATTCAAATATATTATTCATATATTATTAAATAGTATGTAACAAGCTGTGGGTTAAACCACATAGCCTAGGGCTTGCCAATCAGAAGGTTGGCCGTTCAAATCCCCGCAAGGGGGTGAGCTCCCGTTGTTAGGTCCCTGCTTCTGCCCACCTAGCAATTCGAAAGCACGTCAAAGTGCAAGTAGATAAATAGGTACCACTCCGGCGGGAAGGTAAACGGTGTTTCCATGCGCTGCTCTGGTTTGCCAGAAGTGGCTTAGTCATGCTGGCCACATGACCCGGAAGCTGTACCCTTGGCAAATAAAGTGAGATGAGCGCCGCAACCCCAGAGTCGTCTGCGACTAGACCTAATGGTCAGGGGTCCCTTTACCTTTACCTTTTACCAAGCGTAAAGAGAGCAGACTGCTGTAGTCTCTTCCTAAAAGACAGTGCAGGTTTTCCATGAGCAGGAGCTGAGCATAAGAACATAAGAGTCTGCTGGATCAGGCCAATGGCCCATCTAGTCCAATATTCTCACAGTGGCAACTGTGGGCAACCTGCAAGCAGGACCTTTCACAAGGACGTTCTCCCCTCCTGTAGCTTCCAGCAACTGGAATTCAGAAGCATCACTGCCTCCAGCTGTGGAGGCAGAAGCATAGCTGTCATAGCTAGGAGCCATTGACAGCCCTCTCTTCCTTGAATTTGTTCAACCTCTTTTAAAACCATCTAGGTTGATGGCCATCATTGCCTCTTGTGGGAGCAACTTCCCTAGTTGAACTATACACTGAATGAAGAAGTACCGTATTTTTTGCTCTATAAGACTCACTTTTTCACTCCTAAAAAGTAAGGGGAAATGTGTGTGCATCTTATGGAGCGAATGCAGGCTGCTCAGCGATCCCTCTTGCTGTTCTGGCTTCTGAGATTCAGAATATTTTTTTTCTTGTTTTCCTCCTCCGAAAACTAGGTGCGTCTTGTGGTCTGGTGCATCTTATAGAGCGAAAAATGCGCACTTTTTTTATGTGCCTTCCAACATTTAGCTTCAGCTCAACACCCAGTGCGGGTGAACCAGCCACGCCCCCCTAAATCTGCCTCTGCTGGCTGGGGCTAATGGAGTCCAACAACCTATGGAGGGCCACCGTTTATCCATCCCTGGTTTAGAGAAGAATGTAAGAAAATCACTGCTGGAATAGACCAAATGCCTGCCTAAGTGCGGAATCCTGGTCTCACAGTTTCCAACCAGATGCTTATGGGAACATAGATCGTAGACCTCCACTCCCCCTGCCCACTGTTGTTTTTTTTAAGCATTTCAGGTTTTAAAGTCAGCACAAAGCTAGGAATGAGTGCTTCAGTCTACAGCACCAGTATCTTTTGAGTTCAGATTCAAAGGAATATAGCGTCTGGATTTTTATTTAATGCTATCTTGTTTGAACACGCACATCAACGTCAAGCACAATTTCCAGCAGCGTTCACTTGGCAGAAGCTTTGATAAATCTTTGCCTGGATGATGCTATTTCAAAGCGTCGAAACTTTGAACTGCAAAAATTGACTGATCATTATCTGGACCAGCTGAGTTCACATAGGAGGCATCCATCGTTAGCATCCTGTTGTGACATCGAGGTATGTAATCGTACCTAGGGCCGAGGAAACACAAGGGTACTTGTCACAACTTGAAGAAACAAGAGCACTGTGTACATCTACGCAGAGCTCAAGTGTAGGAGTATAGATGCAGTCAATTAAGGAGTTTGCTAGGCTGAGATGGATGAAAACACACAGATCGCTTAGGGGGACCAAAGAATTGATGGTTTAAAGAGCCTGTTTTGTTCAGTTCCATGGTGCTTTGAATGTGAGCATCCTTGAGGATCTGGAATAAGCCAAAACGTGGGCTATAAATAAAAATAAAAAAATATTCTAATCCAGCTAACATGTCAAACATGGAGTGAGGAAGATGTTGCTGGATTATAACTCCCAGTTGGAGCTTAAATTCCCTTCTTAAATTAATCTGGTGAATTCTCTATGGAAAACATTAACTTAGGTCTTAATTTTTCTCTGGTATATTAGTACGGCCCCTCCACTGTTGTGGATAAAGTTATGCTCTGTCTAGGCTAGATTTTGCAATGTGTTGTGTACCAGACTATACTTAAAGGCAGTTCAGAAACTTCAGCTGCATCAAAACACTGCAATCAGAATTCCAGCTTAGAACCATCATTCTGACGATATCACATTGACATTAAAATAGCTACACTGGATCTCAGTGCCTTTCAAAGCATAATTCAGAGTGATTAACTTAACCTTCAAAGCTCCAGCGGGAACCTGTGGCTAAACTACAACTGCCATCATCCTTCACCTGTGTCTATGCCAGCTGGGGCAAGAGGGAGTATGACAACATCTGGAAGGTCACAGAGTCTCCATCATGCTCTAATGCAGGGTTTCCCAAAGTTGGTTGTTTTTTACTACAGCTCTCATCATCCCTTAGCTAGCAGGACCAGTGGCCAGGAACGGTGGGAACTGTAGTCCAAAAACAGGGGGGCGACCCAAGTTTGGGTTTTGAATACATGAATGGCTATCTTCAGCCCAAAGATCTCCATTAAAAGGAATTACCATATTTTTCCATGTATAAGACTATATTTTCTCCCAATTTTTTCAAGTTTAAAATTGGGGGTCGTCTTATACATGGATAGTACATATGGGAGACTGGTGATTGATGGAGTCCCAAAAAACAGGGGTCGTGTTATACACAGGGGCGTTTTATACATGAAAAAATATGGTATTCAGATGCCCCCACCGGGTGGATTCAAATGTATGGCGACCAGGGTGAGGAAGTACTGGTCCCCAATTTGTATGATGCCCTTCTAAGACAACTAAGGGACATGCCAATTCCTGCATAATTTTTCATGGAGACTTTTAATAGTTCTTAAGTTTTGTAATTCTATGTTTTTACTTCCACTGTTTGGAAGGTTGAATTGAAATTATTGGTCGCTCTTAATTTTTGACCGTATTCGGTATAGAAAATAAATAATTAAAAAGATATCTAAGCCATTATTTCATCACTCTGCTACATTTTATCATTTCATTGTAGGCCTATTATTTTGGTATGTTTCCTTGAATATCGATAAAGAAAAGCAACTCATAAATATTTTGAATAAATAAATAAAATCCCAGTGCCAATAAAATCCCAGAGCTGAACTGAGGCGTGAGGAAATTTGCTGATCCAAAACAAAATGTTGAAAATGAACTCTTTAAACCTATTGCGTTAGGTATGTGGGTTGCTTTGCTTCCAAAGAAAAGTTTGTAGGATGTTGCATTATGTATTTAGCTTTCTTGGCTTCCAAAGAAAAGTGTGTAGGATGTTCGAGTTTCAACATCCCATATTCAACTTATTTATCATTCCTCATGAGGCCTTAAGGGCACAAAGTGTTAGATCATTTAGCTGCAGGAAAGCCAAGGCAATTATAAAGCAATTCACAATATAGTGATCTGGCGTAAACAAGTAATACCGTCATTTAAAATCATTAATATAGTTCATTTATTTAGCTATCTATCAAATTTAATTATATGCCACCCTCCCTCCCAAGCATAGCCCACAGAGGGGCAAGCATATCTGTAATAAAAATAAAATAAAAACTTGTTTAAAACATTTTTAAAACATCAAAAAACAAAGAAACACAATAAAACATGTAACCAATTATGTGTCTGAATAGGCCCACTGAAGAGAAAAGTTTGAAGAAATTGCTTTATACAGCTTAGAATAAAATTGATGAAATACTTTTTTTCATATGTGCATTATCTGTTATCACAGCGTTTCCCTCCTGCAGCTTCACTATCACTTTCCTCTCTTTCTCCTTCTGTTGTTCATACGCCAGCCACTTCCCTGATTTATTGGCAAATTCAAAGTTTTTCATTTAGCATAATTAAACTTTTCTATCTCTTGCGTTTTTAGCATAGATAACTGCCTCTGCAACGTCTTAATTTGCCAATTAATACTAATCTTATGTGGAAATCTTTCTTTTTCCTTTTGTCTAATTTCAGTCAAGATTGTTTTTCATTTTATCTTGTCATCATCCCCCCCTCCCCCAGCAATAAATTATATTCTATAAAATAGCCTCTGTGTTGGAGAAAAAGCAACTCTGAAGTGGCCCTCATTTGATCCATCCACCACTAGGGATTTAAGGGGCCACTCAGTGTTCACCACAATCGGCGCCGTTTCTGTTTGGCTGCAGTTCGGCTTCCCCTAAAACCTACACAATTCAGTTCACTGACAAACATAATTAATCATAATTAATTCTGTAATTATTTCATTTCAAAGCATTTGTGGAATGCTCTCCCCAGGGAAGTTTGCCTGGTGCCTTTATCATGTATCTTTAGGTGCCATTCGAAAACTCTCCTCTTCAACCAGGCCTTTGGCTGATTCTACAGCCTTTTAAATGTGTCTGTGAGAAAGGGTGTGTCTGTGTGTTATTGCTTTGCTGTTTTGCTTTTGCTATTCCCTAGCAGTTCAAAAGCACGTTAAAGTGCAAGTAGATAAATAGGTACTGCTCCGGTGGGAAGGTAAATGGCGTTTTCGTGCACTGCTCTGGTTCGCCAGAAGCGGCTTAGTCATGCTGGCCACATGACCCAGAAGCTGTATGCCAGCTCCCTCATCCAGTAAAGCGAGATGAGCGCCGCAACCCCAGAGTTGGCCACGACTGAACCGAATGGTCAGGGGTCCCTTTACCTTCATCCTGTATTTTATTCTGTGAACCGCCTTGTGATCTTTGAATGAAGGGCGGTATATATAAATCTAATAAATGAAATAAATCAAAAACAAATTGTCATTCTTCAATGCTGCTAAGAGAATAGAACTCTGCTGCTTTAAAAAAAAAAATCAGTGTTTTCCTCCCTCCTCTCTCTCCCTCTCCGTGTTCTCACTCTTACTGCAGGCTGAGAATGCTTTGCTGCTGCTGCTGCTGCTGCTGCAGGCTTCTCGCCCTATCCATAAGGTTGAGTTAGCCAAGGTGGAGGATGGGAGCAGCATGGAACTGTCCCAGCTCCTCAATGAGATCAGGGCAAACTATGAAACGCTCATCACCAGAAGTCAGATAGAGACCATCCTCTCAGCAGGGACCCAGGTAATGATTATATACAGAAAGGCACCTACCCGAATAAGGAGGCAATCCAATGTGTACTCAGTTCCTCTCTCAGCCTCTGTGAGGTACAGTATTTTCTTTTCCAATGCAGCCTTTTATTGGGGAAAGGGAATTGCGGTGTGTGTGTGTTATTCCGTTCTTTCTCCTCTCATACTGCAGCATATCTAGCCCGAAAAACTGCGGGGAAATACATGAAGGTATAAGTCGTGTCACCTTGCATCTATCTGTTTATGTAAATAGGATGGCAAAGGTTTTTGTGATTCCCACCCCCTCACCCCCAAATGAAGTAGTACTCTTGGCTCATTTTGAGATGATTCTTCTTTTTTTGTTGGGGGGCGGGATAAAGTAGGCATCCTTTAGCAGTTGTGTATAGGAGCCATTTTAAGGTGGGTTAAGATTTCTAGCCACTTTTAAGGTTGTGGGAGCCTGTGCTTTAACCCTCGAGGTAATATTTACAGTGTCCCCCCAGAAGATGAAAACGAGTGCCATAGTATTTTGCAATGCCTTGCCTTGTTCCAGCTCTCGTATTTCTTAAAGGTTATCCGGTCACAATGACACCATTAGACATCCACACAGAAATAAACATCTGTGAATCACAGCTGGACAATTAGTCTGAGTACTGCAACACATCATAAACTAAGATATGTAAGCTAGCTGATGTTATCACCCTGCTACACTTTAAATATGGTTATTTCTGATTGTATGGTCCTATTATTATCTCACGGCAGGCTTGCTTCTGGTGTAAGATGATACTATTTGTATGTTCCAGCAGCTTTCAAATTCTGTCCCAAGAGGCTGGGACAGGTTACAACAACTTGTCCTCACAGCAGCCTGCTAGGTTAGGCCTAGAGGCACTGACATGCCCATCCAGAGAGTTTCTTGGCAGAGAAGCAACTTGGACCTGGATTCCCCACTTCTCAATGCGCCCAGCTGCTCTGTGCAACATGTATGTGAACCACTGATAGCAACATATGTTGCTGAAAACAAGGCTTAAAGGTAAAGGGACTCCTGACCATTAGGTCCAGTCGTGGCCGACTCTGGGGTTGCGGCGCTCATCTCGCTTTATTGGCCGCGGGAGCCGGCGTACAGCTTCCGGGTCACGTGGCCAGCATGACTAAGCCGCTTCTGGCGAACCACAGCAGAGCAGCCGTTTACCTTCCCACCGGACCTGTACCTATTTATCTACTTGCACTTTGACGTGCTTTCAAACTGCTAGGTTGGCAGGAGCAGGGACTGAGCAACAGGAGCTCACCCCATCGCGGGGATTCGAACCGCTGACCTTCTGATCAGCAAGTCCTAGGCTCTGTGGTTTAACCCACAGCGCCACCCGCGTCCCGAAAACAAGGCTTACATACCTATATACCAATGGCCCTGGGTCAATAGAAAAGCTGTAGGATAGGGCAGGGGTGAGGAACTTTCTTCAGGCCGCATACCCTCCAACTGTCCTCATAATTCTGCATCACTATCACTGCTGGGGAGGGGCTCTTTCCTTGTTGGTTTTGCATGTTAAGATTTTTATTAAAGTTTTTCAGGATACAGACAACCCCTCCCCGTGCAAAGCCCAGCTAGCTCCAGTGCTCACCCTTGACCCCATAACCTCCTTGCCCCCACACCCCTCAACTCCAACCCCCACAGGCCTGTCTTCATCCTGCCAGCTACACACACACACACACACACACACACACACAGTGCATGTTCCTGCCCAAGGTCTCCTCTAGCTGCCACCTTCTCTTCAGACGTGACCTGGCTCACTTTCTCCTTCTTGTTTTTATTTGGTCAACTGGATGGGGACCTGCCAGGTTGGAGAGTCGCTGCTTCCCACAATGGAGACAGGGACATCAGTGTCCCCGTTGCCTTGCTCCCCCTTCTCCTCCTCTACCCGCTACTTGTGCTGCTGATACTCTGCTGACTGGCCGCTCTAGCTCCCTCGCTCGAACCCGGTGCAAGACTCTTCCTTCCCCCTCAACCCACCTTCTACAACTCCCAGGAGCAGCAGCAAAAGGAGGTGGCAGAGGAGGAGGTCTCAGTCGGCAACTCTCTCATCCCTGCTTCCCCCAACATGAAGCCATTTCTGATTAGTGTACCTCAACAAAGATGGGGATTTCGGACTCTGTGTGAGAAAGTGAGAAGCCACGATGGCTTAAGGGTTTTCATGATGGTCCTGGCATTTCCGGGGCAGTTGGAGGCTAGGAGGCCACATTCACTCGTGATCAATCTTCGGGGGGAGTGGTACATGCCAGTGAGTCCTTTATCTCTCACACATGAAATAGCTGAGGAAAGAAGTTTGAGTACAGTGAGAAGGGAGTGACCCTGAAAGGAGGCAAAGTGGCTGTTTTAAAGCATCCCAGCTTCACTTAAACCTCTGCTGATGTTTAAAACTGCCATTTTCCTCTCAGTGTTACTCATCCCCTACTTTACTGGCTGCAACATAGGCTGTTGTTTAAAACAGCCACTTTTTTTTCTTACAAATCGGGTCCTCCCTTAAAGAGGGCACGTGTTGCGGTGGGACCTGGCAACCTAACCCTGTGTTGTGGGTGGGTATGTTTGGATAGCCACAACACCCGATTGGTAGGTCCCTTGATGCAGGGTTCAGTCAGGCCAATGGGACACAGGCTAAACAGATCAAGGGACCTATATATACCTATGTACGTGACCCAGAGCTTCCTCTTTCAGTGCATGCATCAGAACACCTGCCCACCTCTCCCTATATTTAGGGCTTGTACGCTTGACCTTGCTATGCCGTCGTGTGTCATCTGTCGTTGGGACAGGGGCACGGCAAGAATTTACCCCACTTGGCTGATTGGTTGGTGCCATTTGGGTTTCACCTGCCGCGTAGCAAATCGTCACAACTTGTAAGGTTGCGGATAGGCTCTGGTTCAGGTGACAGAAATGGGAGAACGCTCTCGCCATCCCTATGTGAAGGCTATTCTGTTAGAGGAATCCAGGGACTCAATGGTTTGGTCAACCCCTGTGAGGAAGTTGTGCCCGTGCCTGAGTCCAGGGGGGCATTTGGGTGGCGGAGATAGCCCGCTCCCGGCTTTCTGCTTATCCAGGTGTTCACCCTAGGCTGACCTATGCTGGTGCCCTGGGTCAGCGCTACCTGCAACGGTGCAGGGAGCTAGTAGAACCAGAGCCTATGCAACCAGTCACTTGCTGTAATCAATAAAGTTGTGGCCTAAATTCTGTCAAAAACCAAACCAAAATTAGAATCTTGTGTGAATTTATTTAAGGGGGAGGTTTAAAAGTCTCAACACGCAACACTTCTCACTGTACTTAAACTTCTCCCTCTTCCATTCCTCAGCTACCCCATGTGATAGAGATGAAGGAAGGAGAGGCTTCAAATATTCCATTGTAGCGTCACACACTGTATTTCACTCCTGGTGCCATGTGTTGTCTTCAGCATAAAGTTCCAGATTACGTGTAATAATTTAGAACAGATATTTTATTAATAAGCCATATATGTACATAAGCCATCAGCTGAACTTAACCTTCCCTAACTGAACAAGCTAACTGACAGCCTTGCTCTTAATAATCTATTTAACTTAAAAGATATAGTACCGTGGGTTTCACAATGGTTCACACGCAAAAGGGGCTGTTATTATAGGAGAGAGGATGAGTCGTGGAAAAGGGGTGGTCCGTGTTCAAGGTCGGGTTGAGGAGGGAAAGGAAGTGAAGGTGAAAATGGGGGTGTAAAGGGGGCTGCAAAAAAAAGGAGGGAGTAGGAGACATGGGAAGGGGGTGAACATGAAAGCTGGGGCATGAAGTGTCCACAGAACAGGAGGGAAAAGTAGCTTCATAATTGGATGGAAGGTGGCAAGGGGTGCTTAGTCATTGCAATATGTGGATGGAGAAAGATGCAGGGGGCCCCATGAGGGTGGTTTGTGAGCAAGGGTCAGAGGCACAAAAAGAGGAGCAGGAGGAGGCATGGACATGAAGGTGAAGGTGAAGGTGAAAAGAGGCGCAAAGCAGGGCTACAGAATAAAGGGGAGAAGTGCCTTCAGAAATGGAACTGGAGAGGTGAAAAGTGAGCTTAATAGTTGCATGAGATGGAAAGGGGATTAATGCAGGGGAGAATGGCAGGCCGGGGGGGGGGGGGAGGTTGGCAAGTGTAGCCCGTAGTAAAGAACCATAAAAAGGGACAGCAACTGGAGCCTTGAAGTTGCCCGCCAACAGCATCAAACTGAACAAACATACAGGTCACATTCATCCTCATATCATATTTCATGTTTCTGCCTGGATTGCAAGCATTTTTGTTTTTCTAAATGTGAACCTATATGTATACATATTAATTAGCTGCATATGCAAATTTCATGCATATATTTGACCTCTGTGGTGAGAATGTACTTCTTGCTGCTGCTCCTTCTTCTTCTTCTTTTGGAAATGCATAAATAACCATCCTAAAGCATGAATTTCTTCTGCATATACCATGAACAGCACAAACCAGGCCTTCGATGACGTCCGCCATGCCTACAGTCACTCCCCTGTTATTTGAGGATGTGTCATGCAAAGGCAATTTGTAATCTGGTAATGACAGAGTACGTGCATTTCTCCAGAAGGAACAAAGCTAGGTATTTGTAAAAATATTACCTCAGAAGTAGGTGTCAGTAGAAATCCACAACTTATGTCTGAACTGGTTGCTGACGATTATTTTCTAGCAGCCAGATGAGAAGTCAAATTCCAATATGATGCTTCAACAATGTTTATGCATTTTCAAACAGGTATCAGATCCATCAGGCTGAATAAAATTATATAGTCCAGGCTTTATCTGGGTTAATAAATACATGAAATTATTATTAGGGGTTTTTTATTTTTTTAAAAAAACCTTTTAATCTGTGATCCATTTTGTGGCTTTCAGACCATCGTTTCCTTTCTTGTTTTTAAGGCTAACCTTTTTTGTCCTACATATATATTATGTATTCTCATTAAAGACTCAAATATTATATATTGTTCACATGTTCTAGTACAAATGTGGGGGGGGTGGCTTTTGGCCAGGGGGCTATTTTAACTCCCTGCCAATAAATGTAATTACAAAAATGAAGACAGAACGACAAGTTTTTCCAGAAGCACCTTGGGGAAAAGTAACAACATGAGCTTTCTGAATGTCAGATGATGCCTAGTCACTGTTGAAGTGGAGCCATCAAGCATCCTTATCTGGCGTTAATTGTGCAAAGTACCTATTATCCCCCAAAGCCTCTGCAGTGCTATCATATCTATGTTTACTATTGCCTCAGAATTGCTGCCTCCAGAATTGTCCCATAGTGCCAAGAGTGCATCTCACGCAGGGTGGGGCAACCGGGTACACCTGTCCTGAGCCTCAGAGAACTAAGTCGGCCTGGGTGTGTGTGCGCCAGGGGCCTGCTGAACTTACACCATCATGACAAGAATGTCCCATGCCCCCCATGTCCTCAGACAAGCTCTGCACATGCCTGGCCCCATATATTTGATTTCTTGACCAATGGGCTGTATTTTGTCAGGACTGACCATCTCTGCAACAACACACCCATTGCACCACATTTCTCCTGTGTAGGTGCATGCCCAGTGCTATTAAGGACAGAAAAGCAGTATACAAATTATTTTTTTTAAAAAATGTAAATACTGTCTGGACTGCTGTGATGTCTCCAAATGTCTCACAGTTCTGTTGTTGGAAGACTTCCCTGCGCTGGCTTAACTCCAATAGGTAGATGAAGAAATGTGAGGTGTTGGAATTACCGTATTTCCTCAAATGTAATCCTCACTTTTTTTGGCCAAATTCTGCCATGAACATTAGGGTGTGCGTTAGATTTGACGGTGTATTAGACTGCAAACTTGCCTAGATGGGGTGATCAAGTTCTACTGAGTCTGCTTTTTTTCCTTTGGGCACCATGAAAAAAGACGAGCTCTTGCTAACTGGGAGGCCCAGTTGCTCTGTTGCCACTCCACTGCCACCACTGCCATCCTTGCCACAGGAGGGGGAGAGCCACGTGGGTCAGCAGAAGCGGCTGGAGCCGGGTGAAGTGAGTCGGGGACTCGGTGTGCATCACGGGAGTTTGCTCGTACAAACACATTGCCTTTCCCCTCGCCCCGCTCGGCACACCAGCCACTGATTCAAGATCGCCCCATCCTGGTTCCCACCCCCCCGCCCCGCCCCACGAACAAGGACTTGGCCTTACTGGTGAACAAGGTGAATGTTGCAGGAACCGGCCTTGTCATGCGAAAAAGAGTCTAGCTGCAGGCATGAGCACAGTAGCCCATTTGCGCTGGGACGGTATTTGAGACAGAAAATGGTGGCTCTCAGGAGAGAAGATTGAGCAGGCCTTGGGAGTGCACTTTTTGCCAATGCGCATTACATTCTCAAGCAAATACCTTTTTGAGTTTCAAGTTTTTGAAAACTAGGGTGTGCATGAGATTTGAATACAGTACGCAGGTTAGCAGCTTCCTCATGTCATCTGATGCAGGAACCGAGTAGTGTTTCTGAATTATGATCTTAATGAGTACTCTGGGATTCAAACCATTTGCCTCCCCGCCCCCCAGTGATATCCACGCAACTGACTCATAGACACCTTGACTGTATTTTGAACTTTCTTGAGAAGCTTCAGTGAGTCCTTAAGTCAGTGAGTCCTTAACGGTATATTTCTGCATCCTACAATTTTCTGGGAAGCCCTTAGAACTTCCCCCTAGTTCCCATTGGAACAAAGCCAAAGTACCATACTTTTCCATGTATAAGACTATTTTTCTTTCTTTAAAAATCATACTTAAAAGTGGAGGTCGTCTTAGACATGGGTAATGCATAGGGTTGGACGTTTGATTGGTTGCTGCATCAATGGGTGGTGTTGATTGGCTGACGCTCCAGCAGTTGGGCTGGTGATTGGTTACAGACGCTTCAGGTTACAGACTCTTCAGGTTACAGACTCCGCTAACCCAGAAATAGTACATCAGGTTAAGAACTTTGCTTCAGGATGAGAACAGAAATCGCGCAGCGGCGGCAGCGGGAGGCCCCGTTAGCTAAAGTGGTACCTCAGGTTAAGAACAATTTCAGGTTAAGAACGGACCTCCAGAACAAATTAAGTTCTTAACCCGAGGTACCACTGTACTGTATATGGATGGCATTTTATAAATAAGCAAACAATATTATGGAGTAACCTCTGGAGTTGTGCCAATTTGTCCTTTGAAACATGCCAAGTCCCTCAATGGGAATTGTGCAATTAGTTCTTCTTGGGTCTTCTTTGAGCTTCAGTGTGTCTGTCTTGGCACATATCAGGTTGAGCTACATGAAGGCATCTTGGTTTAAGCACTGGTACTAAAGATCCTGTGGTGAATGAAAAACTGGCCTTGTAGCAGCTGCTGAGTTCTTCAGATCCTATCCACAGGATGCACCATTAAATACAAGAGCAACATCGGCCTTTCTGATGTGTTGGAGACCTTGTACTTGCTGCAGAGTGTATGCAGGCAGAATAATCTCTCCCACCCCAGTGTTAAGCCTGAAGTTAGGAGAAACACCTGGAACGCCATGGCCCAGAACAATCGGCATTCTGATCACCCTGAAACACTGGATCTATCAAGGATGATGGTGGCTGTAGCCTAACAATACCTGAAGAAACACAGTTTTCCCATCCCTGCAATAAAGAATCGTGGTGGGGGTTGCTTTGCAGTCATCCATAAATTCATCTTAATATTTTGGTATGTAAGGTAGACGGCAACACACTCACAGAGCTCTACAGCCCATCTTGTTATATCTAATACAGTTATCAATTAAAAAAAAAATTCTAACTGCGATTTTATTTATATGTTGTTGTTTTATCCTGGTCTGTGACCGTAATAAAGTTCATTCATTCTAGCATTTTGTTCTCAGTTTGTAGGCAGCAAGTCCCTTCTGATACCATGTCCTGTGTTCAAAGTGGGGTGGGATGGGTTAGAACATATGCCATTTCTTTTCAGACAGACCTATGACCACCCCGTCCGTTGTTGTTATTATTATTATTATTATTATTATTATAGTATAATAAAACGAAGAAGACATGAATTGTGCACCGGGTGTGCTTTGTTTCAGGAACTAAGATTCATTCACACAGCCAAATTTGAAATTTTCAGTATGGGACATCTTGAACTGATGTGGCCAATCCTTCCTCTTTGCAGCTAGAAGAAGCCACTAGTGAAAGAATGAGCAAAGACGAGGAAGCGCTAAAAGCAGCCAGGGCAGAGCTAAATGAAGCAAGACGCCAGTGGCACCATATGCAGATGGAAATTGATTCTCTCCATGCTGTGGTAAGTCTGATTGAGCAGCTGGGCTGTCTGTGCAGAGAGAGGAGGTGAAATTGCTTGCTGTTTTCCCTTGGGCTCACAGTACTCAAGGTAGCTTTACAGACCCTATTTTCCAGGGACATCCCTGATTTAGAAAAGCCATCCCGGTTTCTGATTTGATCCTGGAATGTCCCACTTTTCCTTAGGATGTCCCTATTTTCATTGGAGAAATGTTGGAGGGTATGAAGTTATCCGACCCCCGAGCCGTCTGAAGGCAATCCTGTATAGGGAAGTGTTTTTTAATGTTTTATTATGTTTTTATATATGTTGTAAGCTTCCCAGAATGGCTGGGGCAACCCAGTAAGACGTGTGGGGTATAATTAGTAAAATTATCATTATGGAGTGGGACGTCCCTATTTTCATCGGAGAAGTGTTAGAGGGTATGGCTTTATCTCCACCATTCCTAGCACTGTAGGCTGGGCCTGAGGTGAACCTGGAATAAGACAGGAGTCAGGAAGAACAAAGGCAGCAAAAAGGGTCAAAGAATAAGCTAGAACTCAGGACCAGTTTACTTCATGGCTAGATCATAGCTTACTGTATCAGGAACTCATATAGGGTGCTCCCACCAGGCTACCCCAATAGTACAATCTGCTGCTGCATCGTTCTTCCGGCTTTTATTCCTGATTTGTTGCCATCTCCTTAGTCTAAGGTGCCTACCACTTGTGATAAGTTCTATTTTCTTGTCACCTAGATAGTGAAAAGGATGGCCTGAGAGGAGATTGGCAAGGGAAAGGTCACATGGAGAAATGGGAAATGGAACCCATAATCCTCTATTGTTATCAGACAGCAACAGCAGCATTGTGGGGAAGGGAAACAATATTGTGGGATCTCCATAGTCAGATCCATTAGGACAGGCATAGGCAAACTCTGCCCTCCAGATGTTTTGGGACTACAACTCCCTTCATCCCTAGCCAACAGAACCAGTGGTCAGGGATGATGGGAACTGTAATCTCAAAACATCTGGAGGGCCGAGTTTGCCTATGCCTGCATTAGGACATGAGTGACTTCCCACAGCAAGCATGACCTTGTGCCATGCCCCTAGGGCAGCCATTTTGTGATTGGTGCCCACAGCACTTTCTCAAAATTCAAAATGTTTCCACTGGTCACTGAAGGTTGGCAATTCCTGCATAATAGATCTGATCCCTGTAGCCAAATATCTGCAATCAACCCTGACTGAATGTAACTACAGTGGAACCTCAGTTTTCGAACGTAATCCGTTCCGGAAGACCGTTCGACTTCCAAAATGTTTGAAAATCAAAAACTCAATACGGAAGCCTCAATGCAATAGGGAAACTCAAATGTAGCACATTCTGCTTCCGAAAATAGTTCGAAAACCAGAACAGTTACTTCCAGGTTTTTGGCGTTTAAAAACTGAAACCTTCGCCTTCCAAGACGATCAAAAACCGAGGTTCCACTGTATGTTTTATATTGCTCAGAATATAAAGGTTTGTGACAAATACTGATTTTATTAGTTTGAATTTAATTTAAAATGTAAAGTTGACTGTGTATGTGTGTTTTTCAAAAGTTATTTATCCTCTTCTTTGTTTTTTTTAAATGGTCCTGGGCTTTTTAGAAGTACATTCTGGAATTGAAACCAATAATGTAATTTAACAGGAAAAGGGTCTGGAACATTCTCTGCGCACCACAGAACAGCGGTACCAGACACAACTGAAGCATCTGGAAGCAGAGATTGAAGGCCTGGAGAGAGAGCTACATAAAGTGCGGCAAGGGATTGAGAAGCAGCTGCAGCAACACGAAATATTACTAAACACTAAGATGAGGCTTGAGCAAGAAATAGCTACGTACCGCAGTCTGCTGGAGAGGGAGGAGAAAAGGTACCCAGAGACAGTCCTCAAATACCTATAGCAGGGGTCAGCAAACTTTTTCAGCAGGGGGCCGGTCCACTGTCCCTCAGACCTTGTGGGGGGCCGGACTGGCTGCTTACCTGTGTCTCGTGAGCGGCAGGGGTTGTTGGCGGCGGCGGGACGGTGAGCGGTGCACGAAAGGGCTGCGGAGAGGGGCTGCTTAAAATGGCGGTTGCTCAAGCACTGCTGCTGCTGGCACCAACAAAGCGCAGCCCCCTTCCTCCTCTAGGCAGGGCAGGGAGAAGCCAGAAGGAGGGAGGAGGCACCAATGCCGCCGTGTGAGGGAGAGGGAGGGAGAGGGAAAGAACGCACACGCTGGCAATCCACGCGGCAATTCCTGGACTGTTCGCAGGCCGGATCCAGAAAGCAATAGGGCCTGATCCGGCCTGTGGGCCTTAGTTTGCCAACACATGACCTATAGCATAGCCAGGGTTCTATGGCTAGTAAAAGTTATCTTGTTTATTTGCTTGCTTGCCTGCCTGCCTAGATTTATATCCTACTTCCTGCCTAAAATTCTTGACATGGCTAGCACTGTGGCAGATCCAAGGCAATTTAGCTGGGAAATGGACCAAAGCATTTTCATTGGTTGCCTAGCCCATATATTAAAAATGTACTCAGAATATACTCACACAATAGTTCATTCAAGGCAACCTGGTGGGTGAGAAAGGGAGAGTTTGAAAGCTTCTGCAATCACCTCTGTATTATAGGAAAGTCTTAATTAACCTAAGAAACCTTCAATTGTGGCAGATTCTCCATTCAAGCATGTGGCACAAGTGTTTTAACCATTTCAGCTTCATAAGCCAATACTGTATATACAGTATGTTGCATCCAGTCCAGACCATTGTCTCCATAGAGGAAAGAAACAACATATGATACAGCCCTGAGTTAACTCTATCCTGACAGAGATTGTATACTGAATATACAATACCACATGCTTGTATACTGAACAGGCAGAAGGTCTAAAGTGCCGTGCTGCAAACCAAACAAGTTCAATCGGGACTGCTCAACCCACAGTGCTCACCCGCTGCAAATGTTCATGGTATCTTGTTTATCTAGAACAGGGATGGGCAATAGGTAGATCAAAATCTGCTGCTATTTCTTCAGGCAATTCACAGTCAATCGATAATTGTTCCCGATTCTGCTGTCCAAAAGCAGCAGCAGCTAAAAACCTAAATCAGGTTGATCCAATGTATGTTTGCAGGGAAACCAGAAAGCTCTTGTATGAAAGGACTTTTGAGCTCCGTTCTGTTACTGAAAGCAGATTCCTGGATTTAATTTGTGCTCTGCCCCTTTATTCCAAGTGTACGTCAGCACAACAACCCCCCAACTATTATAGTTGGTGGGTTGGTGGATATCGAAACCTGGTATGCACCAACGAAACAAAAAATATCCAGCAAGCCTGAAGTCTGGCAGCTCCCAATTTAGAAGGATCTAACCAGGCCCATTCTACATTCTTACAGTTTCTTCCTCTTTTTCTTTCAAGGTTTCATCGTTCTGCGTGCCAAGACAGAAAAGGCGACAAAAAGCGCACCACTAGCCAAATAGCGTTTATCTTACCTTCATGTGAGTTTTCTTAAGACCTGGAATTAACATAAAAAGACAGCTCACCATTTAGGCAAAGTTGAATGTGAATCAGAACTTGTAGGATTTTAAGAAAATAAAACACTGGAAAATAAGAGACAACTGTAATTCTGGAAACTTCATTTTTTAAAAAATATAATTTTTATTAACAGGCCAATCAAATCACATTATTTCCAAATCACATTAGTTCCAAATTATACAGACAGATTTTTAAATTTTTGTTGGGGGTACCCATACTTCAAGCTCCGAAAGGGGTCCAAACATCACTCATGTTGCTGCTTTAATTAAACAGTTCTATCCAGTTCTGTCCAGATAGTCTCTTTGTTACTTTCCTCATCTTCTTGTTGTTATCATATATTCCTTTCTTTGCGATCTCTGATAATCTTCACAAGCGGGTTGAAAACAAACATCCTCTGTGTGGGTTTTACACTCTCCAAAAGTCATATCACATAAAGGACAGACGCCATTTCCACACCTCCATATAGAACTTTCCCTCAGTCTGTCCGTTGATTTCCCCAGGCTTGCCAAGCATATCTCAGGGGGCTCTGCCAGGTCAAGATCACATTCCGATAACCATACATTCACATTCCGATGACCCTGGTCCTCCTCCCCCTTGTCCTTCTATAGGCAAGCCTGTCTTAGCGAGACGCCATTTATAACTGCGTCATAAAACTTTCTTCCATTCCCCAACGTTTTTACCAGTCCTCTCTTTGATCAGTAATTCATTCCACACAGTTCTTAAATTCCTGCTTGTGATTAATAAATTGCAATGATTCTTCTCTCTGGAGGGGAGGGTTATTGATACTCACATAAGACAAAAAAAGAAAAGTTCTTTCCTCCCCCCCCTTTCCGTTTCACTCCAACATACCAGTCTTTTAATGATGATTCATCACTTGATTTATTTGTCCAGCCTGTCGCTCCGCTCACAGAGATCCATTAATCAGCAGTCTTTACTCCCGATCTTCACTTGATGTATGTGCATTAGCTTCTTTCCAATTATATATTTCCAATTATATATTTCGAGCTAATGCAAACCAGTGCGCGAATTAGAGACAGCATCAGGGAGAGCCGGCCTCACTCGAGGGCTTCGTGCCAAGTGCCCACACCCCCTTCTTTCGAATCCGGGGGTGAATTATGGACACAGCTGGCAAGGCAGTCCCCCCATTCCCTGGGGGGGGGTAAGGGAGGCTGCATACTCCCATATCAGCCTCTTAATTACCTCATGTGGGTCAGAGAGATGTTATTGTCGGCCATCTTCCAATGTGCCCCCTGGTGGCGCATAATTCTGGAAACTTCAAATGGGCAGAATAGGTTGGGCTAGGTGATCACAATGTGTGGCACCTATTCTGAACCATTTGCTTTGGTTATCGGTGGGTTCCCGGCCTCCTCTCAAAGTGCTGGTGCTGACCTTAAAAGTTCTAAACAGTTTGGTACCATGTTATGTGAAGGGCCACCTACATATAACATACAAGCTTGCCTGGGAATATAACATACAGGGCCCTACATGTAGACCCATCTATAAAGTTGATAGGTGCATGAGACAGGGCCTTTTCTGTGATGGCCCCCTTATATTATGGACCTCTGCTACATAGGAGTACATATATCCTAAACCTTTAAGCAGGTTTTAAAAACCTGTTTATTTCAGGCCACTCCCCAACCCCTAATTTGGGACTCTATTTCATGGGCCATTTAAAAATATGTAGCTGTTTAAGCTGCTGAAATCTCTACTGCCATTCTATTTATCTTTAACTGGCCTCGGTTTTTAAATAGTTTTGTACTGTTATTTAGATTGCCTGGTGTTGTTTTGAATTGCGTTGCTTTTTCAGGATACGTAAGCCGTCTTGTGTGAGCTATGCAGGGCATAACTAACAAGCTATACTGCCGTACCTTGGTTTTCGAACAGCTTAGTTCTTGAACGTTTTGGCTCCCGAACGCCGCAAACCCGGAAGTGACTGTTCCGGTTTGCGAACTATTTTTGGAAGCCAAACCTCTGACAGGGCTTCCTGCAGCCAATCAGAAGCCATGCTTTGGTTTCCGAATATTTTGGAAGTCAAACGGACCTCCGGAACGGATTCCATTCGATTTCCAAGGTACAACTGTATAGCAATTCACACAGTGGTATGTTTGTTTGTTACAAGCATGTTCAGGCTGCCCCTACTAATACCTCATTTGGCTCCTTGGACTACACAATAAATTCCTTACAAACACATAACCTCCTCTTCTCCGAACACTGCACATCCTCTGATGATCAACTAATTACAGTTTCTCATTTTCTAATTGGACCGAAAAAAAGTCATATATGGTTACAGATGCCTGTTCCTGCATAACAGTGAAAATTGCATTTTCTTTTCTGTTTTAATTTATACAGCAAGTGAGCTAAAGGCGCACGAGATTGAAAAAGTGGAAATACTGACAAAGCAAGCAGTCTTAAATGGAAATGTCGCAAAAGAGAGCGCAGAGGCTTGTGGAACGATACAGTAAGTGAAACTGAACAGCACAGAGCGCTTACAAGCAATAAGGAAATGTTCTCTGAGACGGGTTGAGCTTAGGACTTTTGGGGGGGCAACTAAAACTACCACCTCCATCCACAAGAGACAAAATCCGCCAGAAAAATATCCTGCAGAAGTGGGAACTTTAACTTTAACACAGTGAGTGGGAAATTGTGCAAGGCATTGGCAAAGAGCAACATTTGCCAGTTAAAGTAGCAACCTCACCTTGCTTCATAGTAGGGATGCTTCTGATCAAGCACCCTGTATCATCTTGTTTTCAGACAACATAGGGGTACCCAGTGTGGATGGCTTAAGGTCCACTGTGGGTTGTTTTTAGATTATTGGTTGTGGTTTGTTTGAGGGAAGCAAACCACAGTACACAGTCTGCATGACAACCAAACCCAGTTATAGTGGTTTGTTTCTCCCACAGCTATTGGAAAGGAACAAGGCAAGTGAAAATCAGATTCACAGTACAGTGGTACCTCGGGTTAAGTACTTAATTCGTTCGGGAGGGCTGTTCTTAACCTGAAACTGCTCTTAACCTGAAGCACCACTTTAGCTAATGGGGCCTCTTGCTGCCGCTGCGCCACCAGAGCACGATTTCTGTTCTCATCCTGAAGCAAAGTTCATAACCTGAGGTACTATTTCTGGGTTAGCGGAGTCTGTAACCTGAAACGTATGTAACCTGAAGCGTATGTAACCTGAGGTACCACTGTAAACCATTAACTAACCTGATGTTTACCAAGAAATGCAAACTAGGCCAATGAGTGATGGACTATTTATTCAGATGTCTCACTGTGTTCAATAGCGATCTACATCCATACCATACCATACTATAAATTCAAAACACATTTAAAGCCCATCACACGCACACCCTGCCAAAATCCCGGGAACTGTAGCTTACCTCCTTACAGAGCTACAGTTCCCAGGATTCTTTGGGGGGAACCATATGTTTTAAATGTGCTTTAAATTTTTAGTGTTGATGTGTCGTGTATTTAGGACTGGAGCCCAAATGTTAAAAGGCATCCACACAGGCATTTAGCGAACATTAATTAGTAGGAAACAAAAGCAACCATTGGTACTAAAGGGAGCCTAAAAACTCAGTGATAAATCAATGCAGATCCTTAAATCGGTGTTGCTTAGTTCAACAGAATTTCTCTCCGCCTTCTGTCCTGAAGAAGGTTGTGAGAGCAGATTTCCATGGGTATCTTTCTTTTCATAGTATGAAATCCTGGTTGATCATTTTTCTAGGGCAGCACTTCAGTTTGGCATAAGTTCATGTGTAGCAAATTGGGCGCCTTTTATTTTACAAGTAAAAAACTGCAGAAAGGTTGCAACTTGCCATCCCGTTTCCTGAGGGATACAGATTTTAAAACCAGCCCCCGTATTTCAGCTGACTAAACGAAAACTCTGTGTGTGGTCAGGTCATGCCAATTCCCATCACTTTGTGAAATCCTAGCTTGAAGGTCTGTTCCACACTCATTCATCAGTATAATGTTTAATTTATTGTTTCAGGACGGAGAAAGTAGATGAAGTGATTAAAGAATGGGAAGGCTCTTTCTTTAAAGACAACCCTCGCTTAAGGAAAAAATCAGTTTCTTTGCGGTTTGATCTCCACTTGGCAGCCACAGATGAAGGTTGTTTACAGACTAAACAGAAAGGCTTGCCTGATATCGAAGTGAGATTGGTTATGAAGCGGTCTTGCAGTATCCCATCCATCAAAACCTAAATCTGCATCCCACTTACCCAAAGATTATTCATGGATGGGTTTCAGAAATAAATGGCAGTATGGACCCAGGTGGACCACATGATTGTCTCCTGTCTGTCAATACTAGGAGTATATTCTTTCAGCTAATATATATTCCTATAATCCTGTAATTATTTTGAAGATGGCTCATGCGTCTATATGAGAGGAAGTTACGGGAATCCAGACAAACAGAATTCCTGTTAGTTAAAACACCTGATGAAATACCTCCCCCGCCTTTATTTTCCTCCAGAGAAGAATTATTTATTTTTATAATTTTCATCAGTTCAATGTTTAATGGGTTCAAAGACTTGTCTCTGCAGAACTAAACATCTACATTTGAAAGGACTTCCTCTGCCACAGGATTATAAGTGATTATAACTTGTCTGTAGTCATTTTTATCTCCGTCATTTTATATATTTTCACCAACACCCCTTAGTCACGGTTACCTCCCAAGAACTGGAAATACAAAAGCTTCAAGAGGGCAAATAGGCCTCAAGCCATCTAATTCCAAAGTAGTACAATTAACACTCACTGTGAAACATGTGCACATTGCCCTTGTTCTGTCAGAATGGGTAGATAATTTTTCACTTACCTGAGATTCTATATTCCACCATAGCTGGATTTCTTCCAACAGATAAACCATGAAAATATTTCCTGGAGTTAGTTTAAAATCTGATTTAAGCCATACCTTGCCACCGATAATGGCATTGGTACTCTTATGGACTTTTGCGAGGTTAAGCTCAGATGAGGCTGCACCTGAGGCAAAAATAATTTCCCCACTAGAAACATGTTCAAACTGCCTCTGACTGGTGCCTCTCATTGCTCAGTCCCTACTGGCCAAAGTGGCTTGCTTCTGATCGGCTCAAGTCTTTCCTAGTGTGCCCAAGCCACCAGAGAGATACCCTAATGGACAAGAATGTGTAGGTTCTTGTCGAAAACATGAGAATACAGCCATCAGAAAGCTATCTGAGCTATCCATTGCATGGGCCATATAAATTATTTTTGAGTACAGTACATTTCTTGCTGGCCTTTCACTGTGACTTGGAATTTTAGTAAGTGAAAGACTTCCTTGAAAGGAATGGACAGTTCCAGTACTGGGTTATTGGTTTTTTCCAGACCAGACGAATATTTCATTCATGTTTTATTACTTTTCTCCTTCTCCCCAAAAGACGCTATGCAGGTAAAATGTTTTCCGTATCAATTTTGCAAATTCCTGCCAGCTCATGAATGTTGTATATTTTCTTGTTGTCTCGATAGCTTGAAATCATGATTTCGAGCCCCACATTGGGCAAAACTTCCTGCATTGCAGGGGGTTGGACTAGATGACCCCCACGGCCCCTTCCAACTCTGTGATTCTGCAGCTCTGTGAAATCACGACTTCCTTGAACCCAGTGGCAAAACTTTTGATTTCAATACACCCAGGGCTTCAGCTGCTATGTTGTAGTTATTACAGTAGCAGGGATGAAGGTATCTTAAGTATAACAGTTACTTTATGATCTACGTGCCTATATTATTCTTATTTAATTTATTACTTGTGTTTCATCCTAAGCTCCCAGGGCAGGTTGCAACATCACGACACAATATTAAAAACTGTTTCAAACAACTTATCCATTGCAGAAATAAGGTGAGTCCAATATACACCTCAAAAGCCAGGTCAAAGAGGTACATCTTCAGCATTTGCTAGAAGCTGTATAAAGAAGGTGTAAGGCACAAGGAGTTTCGCAATTTAGGTCACAGCCGCCCCATAGCATCTGAAGGCGGAAGAAATACCAAGATGGCTGCCTCTGCCAGTCTTAGCACCCAAGGGAGTCTCTAGGTATTTGGGGAAAGAGACATTTAGGGCTTTGCACACTAATATGCACACCTTACACTGGGCCTGGAAACCATGTGGTCTGTCGTCATTGTATTAACAACTGGAAATATCTGCTTCACAGTCAATCAAATGATTCTAAAAAGGGCTACAAGCTTGAAGCCAACCTTGTGCTCAAATCTCACGTGTATGACGACACTAATCCAAAAAGCTGGAATCCTGGCCCTGGTACTCCATCATCCCATTTCAGCTACAGAAACTCTGCGCACAAGGTTATAAGCAACAACAAAAAAGAATAATGGATTTTAACGGCTTTTTAAATGTATTGCCTGGTGAATTTGGCTCTTGGCTACAAAAATTCACACGACAGTAGACAAGCCATTAGAGGGCCACCATGTGTCCTCGTCTTGCTTCAAAAGCTACACTGGCCAGAATTTTAGAAGGATATTTCAAGGTGGCTTTCTTCCACTTTTTATGTCATATTAACTTCCCAAAGCAGCATATTCCAGACTGAGGTTACAATTCTACACACATGCACACAGAGGAGCAAACCTTCATGAACTACTTGGGGCTTACTTCTAAGTAGACATGTCTAAGGTTGCCCTGTAAATACCATTCCTGCCATCACCTCACTTGTGAAAGCATTCATTTCCATGTAAATCAGGGTGGGGAGTTTGTGTGGCATTACCTAACAATAATTCCCAGCACCCCTTACCATTGGCCATGCTGACTGGGAGTGATGGGAACACCATTAGACCAATTTCTATTACATATTACATGAAGCAGAATGACAAAATACCCGAACCTAGAGATCATGGTTATCCTTAGACCAGGATCCAAATGATAGCACAGCTAAGGAGGCTTTAGACAAGTGTTCCTTGAAGAGATAAGTGTTCCTTGAGCTAACTGAGAATGCCTACCTTTAAAACTGAGTTTCAAAATCTGACGTATGAGAGGACTGTGGTTCAAAGATGGAGAAGAAAAATATTCCTGGGTGCATAGTGGCCTTTGATCATACCTAAAATAAGCATTTGGGTCCTGGCCATAGTCCCCCTCCCCTTTTCTTTTCTTTTTGTAATGCTTGCTTGTTTACCAGGAAAGAGCAGTATCTTTTTATTCACTTACCTAGGACAGCATAACTTTTCTTGAAAAAAAGGTGAAGGAAAAGGCATGATTCAAACCCATAACCTCCTGTATTCCTAGCAGACACCCGAGAGATTCATAACATTTTTCTGTCGAAGCAGAGGTATGTCATGTGTATTCTTACTGCCATGGAAACTCAAAACAGTATCTTAGATAAGGCTAAGTTTCTTTCATTACTGCAGACTTCAAACTATTTTGTCGTTAGAACAAAACAAAAAAAACTAATCCTGAAGAGGCATTTAAGTAAAACAATAACTGTGACCTCATGATGAAATTAGGTTGTGTTTTTTTTAAGATTTCGAGGGCACTGCAGTGTCAGGATATCTTTGAGGATCCAGTTCAGTGTCTTCTTTATGTAGGTCTTCATCTGTAGCATGTAATTTTACTGGAGTGTCAACAGTTGCCTTATTCCATACGGCATGCAAAGGCGGGGAAAATGACACAGCAAGTGTCAATGCTCCATTTAATTAACTTCCAACTTTTAGCAACATACAAAGCAAGCATTTCTACTGCTGGTTCTTGTGCTAGATCTTAAAATAAGTATGTCAGCTGTTAATGTTTAATCTTCATAACTTCTGATCTAGAATTGTTAATATTTGTTTACTTGGCATTATGAATGTAAAACTGATTTATTAATTGCCCTGTGCGCCTTTTTCTCCTCTCTCTCTCTCTCTCTTTCTTTCTTTCTTTCTTTCTTTCTTTTTTTTGGTTGATACTTAATTTGTACTTTTTACACTTGAATTTCAAAAAGGAGACTTAAAACTAATTTTTGAGCATTAAAAAACAAGATGGGGATATGAATTTACCAAAGTAAATGATACCATGAAGATACGAATAATAAAACTGAGCCTGGCAAATCTTCTTTTCTTCTTCTTCTTTGGCGATCGCTCGTAGCCGACTAAGATTGTGTTCCATAAGCATGGTTTTAACAATGAGTCCATAAGTGACTGTGGATGCCAATTCTGGATCCACACGTCCTTCCACAGTGGGGACATCGGTTTCCGGGCAGGAGTTGATCATGGCGTTGATTTGCCAGGCATGCCTTCCTCTTAGCACGTTTCTCCCTTGCGTCCTGAGTTCGAGTGTCTTCAAAGCCCATGGCACCTTTGGTAAAGGCTGTTCTCCAACTGGAGCACTCGCAGGCTAGTGTATCCCAGTTGTCGGTGTTTATACTACTTTTTTTTTAGATTTGCCTTGAGACAGTCTTTAAACCTCTTTTGTTGACCACCAGAATTATGCTTTCCATTTTTAAGTTTGGAATAGAGTAGTTGCTTTGGAAGATGATCATCAGGCATCCGCACAACATGACCAGTCCAATGAAGTTGATGTTGAAGAGTCATTGCTTCTACACTGGTGATCTTTGCTTCTTCCAGTACAATGATATTAGTTCGCCTGTCCTCCCAAGTGATGCGTAACATTTTTTGGAGACACCACTGATGGAATCTTTTGAGGAGTTGGAGATGGCGTTATAAGTGGTCCATGTTTCACAAGCATATAGTAAGGTTGGTAGTACAATAGCTTTGTAAACAAGCATTTTGGTTTCCCTGCGAATGTCCCGGTCCTCACTCTGCACTTCAATCGGGAGAAAGCTGCACTCAGGCGATGCTGGATTTTGGCATCAATGTTGGCCCTTGTGGAAAGATAACTGCATAGTTAGGAGAAGTGATCAACATTTTCCAACGTTACACCATTGAGTTGGATTTGTGGCACTGCAGAGGGGTTATTTTGTTCTTGTTGGAGCAGCACTTTGGTTTTTGGGATGTTGAATGATAAGGCAAGCTTTTTGTAAGCTTCTGTAAAGATATTTAGGATGGTTGGGAGGTCATCCTCTGATTGTGCGCACACTACGTTGTCATCAGCATACTGAAGCTCTATGGCGGAAATTACGGTAACCTTACTCTTTGCTTTCAGCCAGCTCAGATTGAAGAGCTTTCCATCTGTTCGATATATGATTTCTACTCCAGTGGGGAGTTTCCCTTCGACAAAGTGTAAGTTCATGGCAATGAAAATGAGCCTGGCCATAGCTGTCAACTTGCAGATTTAAAAATAAGGGACCAGCAGCCTTGAAAATAAGGGACCAGCAGCCAAAATAAGGGACCTGCAGCCTCACCTGTTCCAGGCACTCCAGTCTTCCTGTCCTCCTGCAGTCTGGTCAAACTCATGCTGGTAGCTTCGAGAACACTGTCCAACCAACTTTGTAACCAGAGGTTCAACTGAATAGAATCTGAATCACGTGCACCACAAGGCCTATGCAGCCTCAACTTAAGATGGCTCCCCGGCCTGGCTTTGCACGTGCAACAAAATGGTGTCCAGCATTCAAAAAAACCCTCAGCTTGCATTAACTAGCCACACACAAGGCATGCAAGCTCCACCCCCCAGTTGTTCTTAGACTTCTTATTGGGTGAGCAACACAGCCAAGCAACACAGTTGGAGCCTCTCTCCTCCCTGGCCGGCAGGGAGGGAGGGGGAGGAGCTGCTTCCTTTGAAATTTAAGGGATATCATTTAAGGGACATTTAAGGGACATCCATCAATAAGGGACAGCAGCGGGACATGGCGCTGGAATAAGGGACTGTCCCTTCAAATAAGGGACACTTGACAGCTATGAGCCTGGCAAATATAAACTCGGTGTCATGCGGATCTTCCCAACACAGGATACAGCGGTCGATGGTTACTATTCACATTCAAGGGTCAACCATTGTAGATGCTGAGTCACATTAAGTTTATTTCTGAAATATGTCGGTTGCCTTCCAGCAATTCAGCACATCTTGTAATAAAAAATAATAAAATAGCAAAAAATAAAGGCAGTAAAAATAAACTTGCAGAAACAGCAGAACCCAACCTTTCCAAATACAGTGGTGCCCCGCAAGACGAATGCCTCGCAAGACGGAAAACCCGCTAGACGAAAGGGTTTTCCGTTTTTGAGTTGCTTCGCAGGACGAATTTCCCTATGGGCTTGCTTCGCAAGACGAAAATGTCTTGCAAGTCTTGAGATTTTTTTTCCGCTTTTCGTCCCCTTTATCTAATCTGCTAAGCCTTTAATAGCCTTTAATAGCCTTTTAGCAGCTAATCCGCTAAGCCTTTAAGCCTTTAATAGCCGCTAAACCGCTAATAGCGCTAATCCGTTAAGCCGCTAATAGGGTTGCTTCGCAAGACGAAAAAACCGCTAGACGAAGACTCTCGCGGAACGGATTAATTTCGTCTTGCGAGGCACCACTGTAAAAAGACTTTCATGTGCCAGCACAAACTATGTAATGGGGAGCAAGTCTAATCTCCGGGGGGGGGGGGAGGCAAATATTCCCAGAGTGGAGGCCACTCAGGGAAGGTTAGTCCATTATGGCAAATGGGGCATTGCCACACCCACTTCAGTCTGCTGTCATCCTTGTTACTTAAAACAAGTCAGGAGGTGGCTATACTAGTCACTGACTGTGGATCCACCTGCCTGCTTTCAGCGCCACCAGTCACCATCGGCACCAGCCACCACTGGTGCCAATGCAGCAAAGGCCCTGCACTGCACCCTATCAGACAATCTACTAATAGTAAATGGTGGAACGTGGGCTCAGAAAAAGGCTGTTTCTCCAAAATGGCTGTTTTTCTTGTTAAAAAAAACAAGGAAAAGCATATGGGAGAAGGCGCTCACAAAAGTAAGCCATTTTGGGCTTTAAATGTGAGACCCAGCACTTTGAATTAAGCAGCCGCTATTACTGTGTTGAAACTGGAGTAATACAATCTCTCTGTCATTCCAGAGATGGGTCTAGACTGAAATAAGTTTCTTCCTGGCTGCCCAAGTTGCAAATCCATTTCCAAAGGAAAGGGGGGAAACAGTCCCTCAGCAAAGAACTTTCTCAAATAACTTCGAGAAGCCAAATCTGCCTGTATGTTAACTGGTTTCAGAATATATTGATTGAAAGATTACCAAAAAAAATTTTTTTTTAAATTCCTGCAGGTAGCCATTGGTCAATTAGGGGGGTAGGATCCTAACCCCACAGTATAGCTATGGCTTTCTGATTCAAAGGCATAACCAGTGCTTTTTTTTTCTAGGAAAAATGTGCCGGAACTCACCATGAACGCCTCCCTTGTGCTCTAAGCATAGCAATATCGCCCACCAGAGAGGTGCCAGAAATGAGTTCCGGCTGGGGGGAAACCCCTAGCATTGTGCAGGAATCTGCAACCCAACAGTTTAAGATGGTGCGAGTTTGTCTGTAAGGGATTAATGTGTAGGATGAAAGTACAGAGTGCCTCAAGGTATAAGTGATCCTTGAGTCCCTCCAAGCTCTGAGTCATACAGGACTTTCAAGAAAAGCCCATAATTAAGGGCAGCAAAACATTGGGCTGCTGTTTAAAAATGTGGTCATTTATTTCCCATCTTTGGTTTTGCCAAGACCCACCTACTCACTGATGGCCCAGTCCAGCAATTAAGGGCAGAAGGCAGCACAGCTCAATTATTGCTCAAGGATAATATACATTACACACAACACCAAATGTTATGCAAGCCACAGATACAATAAGTCGGCGCTACCCATCAGGTCACTGCCAACAGTGATTATCTTTCTTTCTATCTCATAGCATAACAATCTTGCACCTGAACTGAAAGTAGCACACATTTGCAACAAAACTACAAAAAGAACAAGTAAAACAACCAGATAAAAGCAATCGCATAGCTGTTCACTGAACTGTTTACAACAGGATTAGCAAACCAAACAAAAACGCTCCCATTCAGGGGTAAATACAATTGCCCAAATCCCTTATTAAAATTAATTATTTTGTTTAGCTGTACAAATCCCAAGTCTCGATTTCATATCCCTCCCCCCCTTTTCTCTATTCAGACATGCCAAAACACAGATGACAGGTTGTTTTGACATAAATACATACAATGTCACATCTTCATTGGAATGATAGGCTTAACGTGCTAATCTGACTTCAAAGTATACAATCCAGAGTGTTTATACTGGTGGTAGAGAGGAAAACACCTTTTGGGAACTACCTGACACTTGGCTGTTTCTCCAGACAACATAAATTTATTTAAAAATATATAATAGCCTAGGAAATTTCCTCTTAGCTTTGCATTTCATCTAAGCTCTTATTTATTAATTTTTAAGCTTAGCTCTTCTCATTCTAAAGACTCAGGGAGAAAAAATAACATTTTCAAAACAAATATATAATTGCATGCCACTCCAATCTCCGAACAGTGCAAGATTTCAGGGGTTCAAGGCACCCTTACCCAGGGTCCGTGTTTCCTTTTGGAAATGAGGCACAGCGGAGACTGTGGTGTCTTCATAATATATGGTTTATTTACACATATATACAACCTGAGCCTACGATGGAGGGGCTCACTGCATAAACACCGCAAAAGGAACTTGTTTCTCCCGCAGCTGTAGTCTTGGATCACAGCAGAAAGCAAACGTTGTGCTCTGCCTCAGTCTTTTACTGCCTGCAACCTTTTTCCTTTTGGATCACATCACAGTCAAGTTTACACTCTGTTTCAAAACTCTGGCCTTCTAACTATCTAGAGCTGGAGGAGGGGGCCTCACCCATTTTCCCTCTGGCACAGACTCCCCTCTCTTGCTATCTTAGCGATCCATCACCTTCCCCTTTGTTTTCTCTTAATGGCTCATCTCCCAGGTGATTACCTCATAAGAAAGCTAGTCTGGCTTATATTTTAACTCTTGATAGATCCAGGGGTTCAGGAGGCTTGATTAATTTCTAACACTTACTGGGTCCAGGAATTTAGGGGAGACTGGCACCCCCAAACTCATACCAATATTTGCAGATCAAACAGGCATATTAGATAATATCAGATACTGAAAGCTAGACTGTCAGGAAGAAGTTCCTCATCTGCATCTGGTCTTCTGCTAACAGGGATTTATTTGTTTACTTGCAAGAGCAATCCCACAAACGGCTGCCCACAGTTGAAAGTAGTACAAGCAAGAGTCACCACCTTAGTGAAAACTATGCTGTGGGAAAACAAGCTAGATCAAAATTTATTATCTTAGAGGGCCATTATCCTCTGGTCACTTTGGGGCATGGGTGGGGAACATGTGGGCCTCCAGATGTTGTTGGCCTACAGTTCCCATCAAGCTTGATCTTTAGCCATGCTGACTGGAGCCGATGGGAGTTGGAGTCCAACAACTAGAGGGCCATAGAGGGATGATACAGATATGCATGAAATTTGCATATAATGCGTATTTGCATATATCATGCATATTTTGTTGGCATCCATCAGTCTTGAGACAATGGAAGAATGAGCCACTAGAGTTACAGCCCCTGCTGTTGCTGTAGAGACCAATATGAGAGAGGCAAGTTTTATGGCAGCGGGGAGAGATGAAGGCCTCTGGTTTCGCTGTTACAAATACACCATGGCATATAGATGCAGATTTAGAAATAATTTAAAGTCTTATAATATTTGACAAAAGGATGACATATTTCAACAAAATCGTCTACATCATTTGTATTATTCAGTGCATGTAATCTCTTTGTTAATTTCTCTGGTGCAGCAATAGACCATCCATTCTGTTTCCAACTGGAGATACACAGATGTTTCAATCCTTTCCAATTCTGTGACACTAGTAGACACGCCACTGCGAAAGAAAAATAATTAGTTCTTTACAACAAAGCCAGATTGTGGTACATTCTTTTAAAATGGTTAACAGTCCAAAACTTGTGGTACATTCCACATTGACCCGCAATATAGCTTATTTCTGTAAATACCTTCTGCCACAAAAGCTTATAGGTTCTCATAGAAGTGACTCTCCTGACTAGGATACATCTGTTGGGCCAGGAAGGGAAAGCCCTAATTTTACATCCCACAAACTGATTAGGACCACAAACATTTAAGTATCAAAATCTTTTTCCTTACTCGGGGGAGACAGAACTGCTTTTGGAGGTCCTGTTAGAATACTTTCTAAAATTAGGAAAATGAGCACCGACACACATTAATCTCTTGCCCTGTGGGAGGCACAAATACCATTTAAGCCCTTGCTTTCAGATCACACTATGCAGTAACCTCTCAATATCCCTGTCTGTATGCAAAACTCTATTATATTAAAACATAGATGACTAAGCTAGACAGCATAAAAGCAAAAATAAGAATACAATACAAAGATATATCCCATCTGCAGGTAGCAAACCTTTCTCTTCAAATTCTTGAAATAAGCTAATTTGTGGAAATGTTGGCTTGCTTTGCTTCTGCCCTTTTGAAACAGAAATCTAAACTAGTCGCGAGAATTACATCAATGGGTTTATTGCTACGCTTTTGAGTACATGAAATTGCTGTTCCCCCAGGAGTAAATTTGCACCAGGCCTCTTTAAGACTTAGAGCTTGTCGCCATTGAAGGTTGCAAAAATAAGTGGACCGAAGCCATATTTTCACCTTCCAATATGCAGTAACAAATAGATAGCAACTGAGATAATCAGGATTTTGCTGTGGCTGTGACTGAACAGCAATGTGTCTACCCCTATACAAAAGACTGCCTTACTCAGATCTTACTCCTTCACGGAGAGAGGGGTTTTAAACATCGAAGAGAGATTGCCAATATATTTCATTATCCCCGGGGGTGGCGGGGTGTGCCTGGACAAATAGCCTTCGGAAAGCTTTGAATAGGAGGACATTGTCCATCTTGCAGGTCAGAGGTAGCTCAGAGGGTGGCTGGGGATAGCAGCAAAATAGAAAGAGGAGAAAGCCCTCGCTGCTCTACTCCCGTTTGTTTCTGGCTGCAGAAATAACGACACTCTCCCACCTTCCCCGCATAAAAGAACCGGAGGACGAGACCTGCTTAAACTCTACGCTGACTCCCTTTGCGTCGCGTCGTCCTCCCGTGATCCAGCGCGCGACTCCTTGCCTACCAACGCCGCCGCCGCTTCAAGCCCGCAGGCAGCTTCGGGAAATGTAATTTCTAAGTTGCATTCGCAGTTTCGCAACAATCCGCTGGCAGCGTCCCTTTAAGTAGAGAGGGAGATGACTGGGTGCAAATGTCTTCCCAAATTGGGAGCTTTTGTTTTCAATTGGAAAGTGGGTAATGGGGTGAGTGGGTGAGAGAGCAAGGGCGAGGGGAAGGTTTGTGTGGAAAGTGCTGAAGAGGAAACGGAAGTTGCTGCCTCCCCCCTCTCTCTGCATCCCTGCTTCCGCCGCTTCCCTCTCGTTGGAGACAAAGGAGCGAGGCCCGAGGCCCGTGTTGGAGCCGGTGAGTTTGCGGGGCCCAGTCTGGGTGTGGCGCCTGAGAGAGAGAGAGGCTGCGCCCCGTTAGCTGTCCTCCTCCCCCCACCCGCTGTGAGGGTGGCGCCCCCTCCCCGCAGTCCTCACTAGGCCTACTCGGAAGTAGGTCCTGCTGAGTCCAGCAGGTCGTCGTCGTCTTCTTGCGGAGGGGATGGACAGGCAGAGCTGGCAGTACTTCAGTTCATTCATTTATTTTATTGCATTTATAGAACGCCCTTCGTCCGAAGATCACAGGGCGGTTCACAGCATAAAAACACAAAAGGCATAACGTGATTTTTAAGAAGAAAGTTCTCTCTCTATTATATATGAAAGCTATATATATAATATAATATAAATCTCAAACTCCCAGGGTCGTTATTGATAACAGATTAATTTAGGAGGATAAGGGTTTGTGGGGGGGGGGACTCAGGGGTACTCATACCCCTAAACATTTTGTGAGTCTAATTTTGGCCTCATTGAGTGTACATATGTGTGTGTACACACACACATATAAACACTGATCCTCCTAAATTAATCTGTTATCATTAATGACTCTGAGATTTTGATCTTGTTACACAAAACAAGCACATTTTGATTCAGAGTTTTTTCTTCTCTAGAGAGGAAAACCATTTGCGATATTTGGTTTCAACTTTTTCTTTTGGTACCGCATGAAAGAAGTCGCTACAAGTGGGTAGTGTTTAAAGGGGGAGGGAAATAAACTTTTCCTGTACTGGTTCATATCTTTGCTCTGAAACAACAAGGGGATTATCTGTGTTTAAGAAGGTAGCTCAGTACTGCAAACAATGAAGTTTATAGATAATTATTGTTCAGTACAGTATATCAATTATGCGATTCAGTTGTAGATGTTGGAGGACTACCTTGGTCCAACTGCTTATATGGGATGTGTCAAGAGAGAACATGGTTTATAGTGATGTTCTACTTTTCTTTTTCAGATCTAATGTCAGCTGGTTGAACACTTTTCTACCAAAATGTCAAGTAAGTTCAGCAGCAGTCTGGGTGTATGTGTGTTTTTTCTTATTTAATTCATATCCACATATAGAATAGCACCAATATTTCATTCCATGGATCATTGATAATGATATCTGCACTCTCTAAACCAGCCTTTCCCAGCCTTGCGTCCCCAGACATCTGGGGACGCCTGGGGATCCAAAGTTGAGAAAGTCTGCTCTAAACCTTCCCAATTTTGAACTACGTACTTAGTGTGTTACTGTCACTGTCCTTATGGCAAAAAGTTCATTTGCACAAGAGCTCCAAATCTACTATAATTGTGCAGCCTGAATTTCCCAAAATCCTAAAAATTGTGACAGTCTGGATGTGCAGTCGCATGAAAAGTCTGTTATTGCTTCAGCAACTGAATCAGCCACCCTTTTCTTGTTCAGTTAGAATAGGAAAAGGGAAAATACAGAGAAATTCTGTTGTGCTTTTAATTTACTTGGGCTTGTTCATTCTACTCACTTCTTTGAGTTCTTGGGAACTGAACACAAGATTACAAACCACAGCTTGGATGCTCCTATATGAAGTATTTTCTTAAATGATAGACTTTCCTCCCCCTCATCTATTCACCTTTTGATTTGGTACTTGAATTTTTTCCTGCCAGTCTCTAGGTTTCCAGCTTGTCTACATAGTCATTCTCCCCCCCTTCTTTTTTTAAAACAGAAAGGCCATCCTATGCCCCACCACCCACCCCAGCCCCCACAACCGTAAGTATGAAAGTATTTTTCTTACTTTGTAAACTAAAGCCTGGTTTCATTTTAGTTCAGCAAAGAAGATACTGCAGAGCTTTGTAAACCAAATCAGACAAATGGTTCCTCTCAAATAGCGTGATTAAATTCTGACTCCAGTCCATACCTCAGAATCCTTTGCCAGCCCTGGCTGTGGAGTGCTTTTAACTGGCATTTTCAAGAATTAGAACTTGGGGTCTCATGCCTGATGCATGCTATGTTTCCAGACTATAACACAAGCTTACTTCCTGTAACATTTGGCATTCATTTTTGTAAAAGTACACATTTTAATCTCGTGTTGCATCTTTAATCCAAGTAATATCTCACGTAGCTTCTTTCCAAAGCACCTAGTAAAAGCTGTGGCCACACATTTTTGGAAACCTGGATAAATGCAAGCTCTGTTCTTTAAGTCTGCTAAGATATGAGCATCTGTGTGGTGATAACAGGCATTTGTGAATCTTTCTAATTGTATATTGTAGTTATTCCCATAGAATGAGGTATAAACACTTTGGCAGGGAATGGGGGCGGGGGGGGGAGATGTTGTTATAGCTATAGCAGAAGGTGGAAGTGAGATGCACAAAGAACAGCAACAAGGTTTTCACTTCTAGGGAAAGAGAGTACATTAACCTTTTGAGTAAACACATTCAGAACATCTCTGTGGTGTGTGCTGTGAAAAGGAAGGCACACTAAGCAACATACTTTAGAGAGCAGAAGGTAAGAATTAAATGCAGGCCTCAGGTTTCCACTTTGTGACCAGGCTGGCATGTCATGCTAAACCATTGTTGAGTGCAGGTGAGAAGAAGCTTTTGCTTTACTACAGTTGTCATGTTTTCTATGGTTTTTAACTATAGTTAGCTTAAAACAAGACAACTTCAAATTTTGTTTTCAGAAACTGGCTTCTTTAACCAAATTGACCACAGGTTTGGATGACACAGGAAGGTGTGGTTAAATAGAAGTGAAGGCCCCCAACCTCCTCCTTAGCTATGTGGAGTAGGTGCACAAACTCAAGGCTTGGTGCAGCTTCTTGTGTATAGTGCTGAACCAAAGTTCAAGTGATGTGTGAACTCAGCCTTCCTGCTTTGGGTGCTGTCTGCAGAGCCAGAGGGCTTCCTGATGGGAATTTATTGTAGAACTCACACCATGTTTGACACCATGTCAAAATGCCATCCTATAGCTCTTGCCATTTAATCTGGATTTTGTGTGGTAACAGAAAATAATGAAAAATAAACAGTTATACATCTGCAGACACTACTCGTGCAAAAGCTCACTGATTCCAATTTTTTGTGGGCCGTTTGTCACATATGCAGTGACCTTTTTGGTAGGTGTTCTCCCTCTTCTCCTTGCTCCTCACCTGAACACAGCCGACTCATTTTGTTTCTGGTGGCCCAAACAATGTGAACATGCCTGTTTCCACAGATTGCTGCGTACTAATGGTCCTACTGAAAGGTATCTGGAGAGTCTGTAATTGGTGCATATCACTTTTTTAAAAAAATACTAAGGCCATGCTCAAAACTGCTTTTGCAAAAAAAAAAAAAAAAACCCTCTTATTATTAAACCACTATATTAAAAATATTTATTGCCCACCTTTTGGGAGTGCATTCAAGCTGCAAACTATGTACCTAGTGTACTGTCTCAAAGTAATGATTTGGGTATTAGTTGCATTTATGGTTCACCTTCTCCAGAACAGAATAAAACAGAATATCGGGATGGTTCAAGAGCTGAGAATTGCCCAGGTTTGGGTATACTGGACAGAACTATTGGTTGGATCCTATTTCCCCCTTTTTCTGTGGCGCTGCTAAACATTTTATATCTATTTGGTCATTAGTTACTGCAGTGGCCTGGTTTGCACATAACATTAAACCATGGTTCATTAAGCTGTAGTTCATTAAACCGTGGCTTAGTGTTATATGTGAGCCCTCCCCAGCAGTTCAACTATGGTTTGTTTGCTCCAAAACAAACCATAATCTGACGGCTTCTTGGCTTTTGGACTTGGTTTTAATTATAGATTGGTGCTGTGTGAGAACCTGGTACCCTTCTTTAACCATGATTTAAACATTGTTTGTCCACTCTACCTATTCACCAGGCTACAGAATAGAACCCCCATTATTAAAAGTTGTATTATCTAGCCATCAACAGCTATATCATTTACATGGAAAAGAGCCTCACTGATTTCTGCAGAACTTACTTCCATCGAATGAGTTTAGCACTGGGGTGCCAATGACATTTCCTTAGAATCATAGATGTGTAGTGTTGGAAGGGACCCCAGGGGTCATCTTCTCCAACCGCCTGCAGTGCAAGAATCTCAGCTAAAGCATCAATGGCAGATGGTTAGTCAACCTGTGCTTTAAAACCTCCAAGGAAGGAGGGTCCACAACTTCCCAAGGGAATCCATTCCACTGTGAAACAGCACTCACTGTCAGAAAGGTTTTTTTCTGATGTTTAGTCAAAATCTCCTTTCTGTTAGCTGAAATCCATTGGATCGAGTTCTACCCTCCTGAGCAGGAGAAAACAAGCTTGCTCCATGTCTTCCATGTGACAGCCCCTAAGATAATTTGAAGATGGCTATCATATCTCCTCTGTCTTCTCTTTACCAAGTTAAACTTTCTCAACCATTCCTCATAAGGATTGGTTTCCAGGCCCTTGATCATCTTGGCTGCCCTTCTCTGCACACATTGCAGTTTGTCAATATCATTTTTAAATTGTTCTGCCTAGAACTGGACACAGTTCTCTAGGTGTGTTTTGACCAAGGCAGAATAGAGTGGTGCTATTACTTCCCTTGATCTGGACTCTGTACTTCTGTAGATGCAGCCTAGAATAGCATTAACTTTTTTTTGCTGCTGCATCTCACTGTTTACTCATGTCCAGCTTGAGGTCTACTTGGACCCCTAGATCCTTTTAACATGTACTACTTGCAAGCCTGGTGTCCCCCCATCTTCTGTTTGTTCAGCTGGTTCTTCCTGCCTAGGTATAGAATCTCATTTTCGTCCCTGTTGAAATTAATTGCATTAGTTTTGACCCAGTTCTCCAGTTTGCTTAGGTCATCTTGAATTCTGATTCTGTTTTCTGCGGCTTTGGCTTCTCCCAATTTGGTGTCCTCTGCAAATATGATGAGCATACACCATGTCCACAACATTCCCCTGATCCATGCAAGGAACCTACTACTTGCTTGAACTTCCTCTTGCTTTGAATGTAGCTGAATAAATCTTTATTATTATTTTTAACTTCTCTTGCAAGCCCGGGTTCATTCTGAGCTTTGGCCCACCTGACCTTTTCCATGCAACTGTTGGCTACTCATGTACACTTGGGCATAAAGTTCCTTGCCCTCTGAGATCTTTTGATGCACTGAATTCTGATTACATTGATTAAATATTGTGGCTGTTCAGTTTCTCTTCAGGGCTGCAATAATTTTAAAATAATTTTGTGTCACCCACTCCATACCAGGGTAACTATGTAAGCTTCTCCCACTGCGTTCTAGAAACATCTGGCTGGCTGGAGTTCCCTTTGCATTTATTTAATTAAAGTGTTTGATATATCACCTGCCAGATTCCCAACCTCCAGGGTGGCTTATAGGGATATTTTGGAATGATAATAATAGAACTATAAAGAACCAGGAAAAGCACATTGGCAGCCTGAAAGCAAATCTATTTTGAAAGACCTGGGCAAATAAAACAAAGTCTCCTGATGCCAGCAGGATGTGAAATTTTGTGCCAGTCTCCCTGGGGAGAGCGTTCCAAGGCCCTTTCTTTAGTTGCTACTCACTTAAACTGCAGGAGAGGCACCCAGAGAAGGGCCTCAACAGAGGACTTAACCATGGAGACAGGTTTGTGTGAGAGTAAGCAGCCCCTTATACTTGACAGCTTTCAGGCTGTATAGGACTTTAAAGGTTAACAGAAGCAATTTGAATTGCGTTCAGAAATGAGCCAGCAGTAAAGACATTTAAGTACTGATGAGTTAGGTATGTTTCATTTACTGGTCCTAGTCAACCATCTAGCAGCATAACTGGGCAACCTATTATGGGATGTTTCCATGTACTTGAACCATGTCAGTTTTTCTATCCTGTACAGCTCCTAGCACCCTGCTAGAGCTAGATAAACATTGAAAAGTGAAGTGTGGCAGGTGAATATGAGAGCGAGTGCTTTTTCAGTGGCAGTGCTCTGACTTTGGAATGCCTTCCTGGATGTTTTTGACACCATGGAAACACCTCCCCCCCCAAAAAAAAGAGAATTCATTTTAATTTATTGTATGTTGTTGCACAGCTTCAACGATTTCTATCTTAGCTATGGAATTTTCAGCTGCCATTAAATATTCATTTGTTCTGGGGGGGGATTTAACTTGTATTTTAGATAACTGTTAACATGCAACCTATAGTCTTATTTGGTTGAATATAAAGATCCAACATAAATACTGAAGTTTGAACCGTGAACTAATTTTGAAAATACAAACGGCTTAAGAAAATATTGGTGCACTGAGCGCCCATATAAAGGACTAGTTCTACTTGGCTACACATACTTAGATGCTTTCCTATGATGTATCATGTCCTTTGAGTATTTCAGTTTTGTGTGGGTTTTTTTGTACCCCATGAGCACCTGGATAAGCAATGAATCAGAGCTGTGAATCTCCATTTTTCTTGGGAGTTTTTCTTTAGCGTCCTTCAGAAGCACCTGAAGGGTGGTTGGTTTTTCTAATTTCTGTTGGCTGGAGCCCAGCCCAGCAGGTTGGGTGGTAATAGTTCTAGGGTTATATTGATTATTTTAGAAGGTATATTTAAATCAAGCATGCAATTTGCCATTCACCTACAGAGCATAGCAATTAGCCCCTAGGCGGGCAGATGACTGGCAAACTGGGTGGTTCAGATGCAGTGCCAAATCATGCTTTGACATTATGTCAGCAAGAAGCTTTGGGATTTTATTCTTCCTCTCCTCATTGCATGATGCAGTTCCCTTCTTCTGACCCGGCTATGAAGCAAGCCATGGTCTGCTGTTTTCAGTGTTTGAAATTAGTCAGGCACCAGGTGCATTTTGCACCTGGCTACCAACCAGTTGCAACCAAGTAAAGATGCCAGGGTACCACGACCTAGAGGTGCATGCCTGCAGATCCTTGGATCTGGACTGTTTTCACACACCCATACCCCATCCTGTCAAATTCTATCAGTTATATTTTATCTTCACAATCAGAATGAGTGTCACAAACCAAAATGCTTTTTCTGTGCAGCAGGAGCAGTGAACAACATTATAGTTTATCGTTGTAGCATGTCTTCAGTTTCCCCACTGCCCTGATCGCAGTTGTGAAGAATATCCGTACATTATGAATGATCAGTGTCACCATTAAGAAAAAGAGGTCGGAATAGGCCAATATAAATGTGGACCATCTCTGGATAAAGTGACTTTTCTTATTTTAAGTTCTCAACGTTCTTAACCTAGCTCAAGGTTGTTGTCTGAACTAGGCAGTTGTTTTAACTGGAGGTTACACCCATCCAGAATCTGCAGTGGCAAGTTTTTTTTAAAGAGAGAAACCCCTCTTTCCTCAACAGGTTTCATTCAGGCTTACTGTCCCTCTTGAGAGAGGGAGAGAGAGCCAGCTGCTGTTAACACCTCATTATGCTTGTTTAAATTTCCGGTTGCTTTTGCATGCTGTACTGCAAACCATTTTCATTTCTCTGTGTTCTCCTCGTTGGGATTCATTTCTCATTCGTGTTTTTGTCTCATTTGTTTCCATCAGCAAATGCCCAGCACACCGGGGTTTGTGGGATACAATCCATACAGCCATCTGGCCTACAACAACTACAGGCTGGGAGGGAACCCGGGCACCAACAGCCGGGCCACGGTAGGAGAATCAACTATTACGTCATCCGGCAAACAACAGGAAGTGACCAGAAATGGCTTTAGAGTTAGGTTCTTCTGAATCTTAGCTGATACCACTTTTTTATTTTCATTTTTCAAATATGAAACATGAACAACAATAACTTGTGGTTTCTTTCCCTTTCTCCCTAGTCTTCCTCTTTTTTTTCCTTTCTTTTTTTCACTGTGCACATTTTACATAATGGCCTTCTATTTGTAAAGCATACAACAAAATGGGGTGAGTTCACGTGTATGCCCATTGATAAGTGGAGCATCACATACGGGTGAAACTGTTATCGCAGATCAGGCACCACTCCCAGCACCTCTTGACTGTGGTTTCCATGGAGGCAGCTCACACATTGCCTTGCCAGGGCACCAAGGGAGAAGGAAGCAAGTGATAGACATGCACAAGGGAATCAGCCTTTTGAGTTCCAGAAGAACAGTTCACTTAAAAGGTGGACGTGCTTCAGCATCTTCAAGACTTAACTTGGCAGGAATGTTTCTGAAGCTACAGCCTACTTCATCAGATGGGTGGACCTTTTCCAAATTTGCAGAAAATTGTTTTAGAGCTACAGTCGTACCTTGGATCCCAAACGCCTTGCGAGTCTAACGTTTTGACTCCCCAACGCCGCAAACCCAGAAGTGAGTGTTCCAGTTTGCGAATATTCTTTGGAACCCGAACATCTGTCACAGCTTACGTGGCTTCTGATTGGCTGCAGGAACTTCCTGCAGCCAATCAGGAGCCGCGTCTTGGTTTTCGAACATTTCGGAACTTGAACAGATTTCCAGAACGGATTCCATTTGAGGACCAAGGTACCTCGGAAGTCGAACCGAATCCATTCCTGAAGTTTGTCAACTTCCAAAACATTTGAAAACCAAGGCCATCTTCCGATTGGCTGCAGGAGCTTCCTGCACTCAATTGGAAGTTGCGTCGGACATTCGGCTTCCAAAAAACATTTGAAAACCGGAACACTTACTTCCAGGTTTTCAGTCTTCGGCAGCCGGTTTGTTTATCAACTAAGCTATTCAAGAATGTCCAAAATCTTCTTAGGCTCATTTAAGTTGGCATCTTCTGCCTCCATGTGTAAAATAAGCTGTGTTCTGGAATTGGGGTGGGGGGGGGGAAGCACCTGCTCACCTTCAGAATTAAACATCATTTTGGATTTTCCCATTACTACTTTTAAACTAATTATGTGAAGTTTTGATGTCCTCCTAAAAGATGCTTAAAATTGGGGAAAGAATCAGTAAGAACTACCATCTTGACCTTCCTACTTGCTTCCTATCTACTGCCAAAGGACATTCATTATTTTTACTATTATTGTCAATATATATTACTTGCCCTTCAGCCTAATGTCCTAGGGCAGGTTATCAAAATGAAAAACAATGTTTAGAAACAATATAGACATAAGCTGGCCCTAAAAATACACAGCTTTGGTGCCAAAAGCCAGTGTAAAGAGGTGCATCTTCATTCGACAACAGCTGTACAGTATAATGAAGATGCCAGATGCACTTTTTAGCCGCTGCCATAGAAAATGTCCCTTCCTGGGCTGCCACCCCTTGAGCTTTGGGGGGGGGGGAATAACCAATAGGGCTCCCCTGCCAATCTTAACACCCAATGGGGTGTGTAGAGAAGGAGGCAGTTTCAGGTATTTGGGGCCTGAGTCGTTTAGGGCTTTAAACAGCACCACGAACACCTTGAATTGGGCTCGGAAAGAAGCAGCCTGTAAGCATTGCTGGTGGAGAATGCTCCATAATAACCTGTTAGCACCTAGGCTGTCTTAACTCGTGTCATCTGGCTGCTGTAGACTGCATCACAGTGACCTGCCAGTGGTGACCACATCATTGTGAGATCTTCTTTCTCATGCTTTCCCCCCTGATAACGTGGCAGTAACGGGTCAATACAGGCCATGCTTCCTTTTCCTAATTACATGCTTTCTTTCTTTTGATTGTTGTACTCCCAGCTGAGCAACATAGATCTGGGAAAGAATCCCACTCCTGGCCCACTTCATGCATTCCCTGCCTGCTTCTACACAAGAATGGGGGTGGGCGGGAATAACGTTATAAGGAAGTGGCTCTCATGCCCCTCCAGGAGCCTGTGTAATATACCTTGAAAAAGCATTTTATAAGTTAACTAACAAATTGATAAAATGCAGTTGCTCTTCTGGAATTTGCTAGTAACTGATAACTGTAGTAAGTGTTAGAACAGTGTTCACCCATGCTGGACAGTCAAACAAGGAAGCACATCAGCTATCCCCAGTGTGGTTCTCTCCAGATGTTTTGGACTACAACTCCCATCGGCTATGGACAGCATGGCCAGGGGTGGTGTAATCCAAAGAATATGGATGATACTGAGCTGGGCAAGGCTGGATTGCATAGTAGCTGCTGTCACCGCCTGCCCCTAGCAGCCCCAAAACCGAAGTGTGCAACTCTCAAGGGACTCTCGTGTCCCTTGTGGAGTTCGTCCGCAGCGCAACACAACACTCATTTGATAAGTTGAAGAGAGCCCTCTTTTGGCCCTCGGTGCTCAGATCAGAAGTAGATCAATGTGGCAAAGCGATACAGTAGGTACACAATACGATGGCGGGGAATTGATGGCCCTTCATGCTTTTAAATCACATTTCATAGGAAGGATTTCTTACATTACTAAGATCTTCATAAGGTGTCTGTGTGTGTTTTTCCCAAATACAGTTTTTGTCCATTCATCATTTAAAAATCTTATCCCCAAAGACTTTTAAAATCTGAATTTAAGTTCAGATTAAAACAGGTTTTTATGTTTCACAGATTTCCATTGTATATATGTCATGAGCATTTACACCTTTCTCTGCCGTGTATATTTCAATATATGTGGTCTTTAAAAAAAACACCTATTGATTTATAAGCATTAAATTAATTCACTGAATGTTTTCAGTCCCATTGTTATGTGTGTGCATGTATCTGTATACAGTTGCTAATGCATACACCTCAAAAACTTATAGATATTTCAGTGGAAGCAATATATGAATTGATTGGTTCAAAGCATTTCATAAATATGAGCAGGAGCAAAGCCTGGGGTTTTTTCCTGCATCAAAACAAAACAAAACAAAAAGTTGAAGTGCTTCTGGAATGCTAGAGATCTGATATTGCAAGCTTGCCACACATGCTTTACCTCAGGCTTAGTGGTCCTGCCACATTCTGCGAGATTGACCTTACTGCTCTAAAACTGAAATCCATGCAGAGACTTGTCTGTATGTTTATGCCTTCATCTTAAACACTGCAGTTCCAGGAAAGCTATATGTGCTGCAAGGTGCAGGTGGAATCTTGTTCATGCAGGCTGCCCCATTAATTGCTCTGGAAAGAGGAGATCCACGTGAGCTGAGAAACGGTGTGTGCTGATCTGTTTCTTCCATTGAAATGAACAAGAAGCCCATGGAGATGGTGGTACAAGTCAGAGCTTCTGGCACTGTAAGCAATTGCCAGATGTGGGAACATAATAGTTTATTATGATAGAATTCCATTGCCCAGAGTTATCACACTATCAGAAATAGTGTGGGGAATTTGACTCTTGCAACTTCCCTTGGGATCCATTTAATATAGTTGGCATTCAGTCCCCACATGAACACAGAACACTGGACCATAGCCATGGTTTGTAAACCACTTAGAGATTTTGCTATAGCGAAGCAGTATATAAATTTGGTTTTGGGTTTTTAAAAAATATATATATAACAAATATACTGCACTCATTTCAGCAGAAGTATGGAAGCCAAGGCTTTTAATGGAAATTGTGTTAAGACTGAGGAGTTATATCCTTCTGGCAAACTATAGATAATGCAAACGAAGTGTCAGCTTGTCTTGGATGGATGAGAGGTTGTATTTGTGCAAATAATGTATTTTGGAAACGAGAAAATAAATCATAGAAAGGAAGGCACTGTGTAGCTGCCAGCCAATAACACCTATTTGTTTTAGTGTCTTTCTTTTTCTTTCTTATTGAGTGCAGGCAAGGTGCTTGGCGGTTTGTACCTTTAAGGAAGACAAAGGTCCCTCCAGGAACTCACAGTCTAATTTGGACTCCGACAGTGAAATTCGGATTCATGTGGTGTACAGGTTGAGGGAGCCAACCTTGCAGAGTTCTTGTTATGATACGTTTTCTGGGTTCTCCCCACCCTTAGCCTGCCTTAATGGAATAAGTATAACCTGAGAAGGCCTTGAGTGAAAGAATATCCATACTGCTTCAGTTCTGTTCTCTCTCCTCTTCCTAAAGTTACCTGTCTCTTTTCTTTAGCATTGAGGTTGCATTCACCCCTGAACTTGACCACTGGTTTGCTACTGTGCCTATGGCAGCAAGTGTCCCTAATGTTCTCCTGGGCTGTGGTTCGGGGCGGGGGGGAATCTAAGAAAGCTACCGCTGTAAAATCCAACTATCCCCAAGAAGCCAGCCTAAAAGAAGTCAAAATTGGGTATGCCCAGGATTCGGAGCAGTGACTACCATTCCCCTAAACCAGGTATGGCCAAATTTGGCCCTCTAGCTGTTTTGGGACTACACCTCCCATCGTCCCTAGCTAACAGGACCAGTGGTTAGGGATGATGGGAACTGCAGTCCCAAAACAGCCGGAGGGCCAAGTTTGGCCATGCCTGCCCTAAACAATCATAGCTGTCTAGAAAGGTCCTGTCAAACACAGCATCACCCATACTCTGCTATGCGTTGCAGGCGGATTATGGGAGAGCCGCATATTTTGCAACATGAAACGATCCCAACAAACAGTTGGAAGTTAAGAGTAGTCAAATCTGCATAGAGCTGTGGGTGTGGAGGCTACAAAAGGGATGTGCTTAATTCCAGCACTGGGGTGAGGCAGGTGTGGATGCAGCCTCAGGTATTTAGTGCTGGTAGAGTTAACAGCTGCTCTCATTAGAAAGTGAAAACGGACTTTTGAAGCCACTGTTACAAGTAGAAAAAATCTGCTTCTCTTTCATTTAGAAATCTCTGTACTGACAAATTCATCAGAGGTGCTGTCGGAAAGTACTCCCGACCCAGGGTGCTGGAGAATGTAACCCTTCTGATGAGAGCTAATAATGTTGCCTGCACCTGTGTCTCACTTACCTGTGTACGTCTCTTGGCAAATGCCTGTCTTGGCGGTTCGCAAATGTTTGAGATAAGATAACCAGTGGATTTTATTTGGTTCTTCTCTAGGCATCATCGGGTATCACAATCCCCAAACCCCCTAAGCCTCCAGATAAGCCACTCATGCCCTACATGAGGTACAGCAGGAAGGTGGGTACAGAACACTTGGTCTTAATTTCAGTAAGCAGGCCTCAAAACCACGTTAGCCTCGCGCTTAACGTATTTCGTGGTGGTTCTTAAAAGTGTGCTTGAATTTGTGGTGTTGTTTTTTTCTTTCCTTAAGGGAAAACTTAAGAATGCAGTTTGTCTTCTCTTTTCACAGTGAAGGCAATAGCGAACCATGCAAATGGAGCGGGTGGGGAGTTAGTTTCGCTGCAGGACGAAACTTGGCCACCGTTCTTTCGGGGGACAAATGAAGAGCTTCATTTAATTGAATATTTAGACAATGCTTAAAACTGCTGCCACCCCTCTCTGCTAACAAGGATGCATCTGGTGACTTGTTGACATACTTTTCTGTTTTAAAAGTATCCAGGATTGGTGCAGCTCGATAGCTGGACTTTGCAGTAGTGACAATAGGACCTACTTTGCTTTTTTGAAAAGTTGTGTGTGGTATTTTTTTTCTTTTTTTTTAAAAAAACACATTTTCTTTCTTTTTTTAAAAAAAGAGGGTGCAGCGCCATTCCTCTCTTTCTCTCCCCCTTTTTTTAAATGTGAGCTTTTTCCTGATTAAAATGAGTACCTAGGACAGCGCCTGATCCAATCCGTTGTCGAGGAGTCACTGAGCCAGGAGGACGACTATGTTACCTGCCTTCCCATCTATGGTTTAAAAAAAAACACCACAGCAACACCTGTTTCATCCAGCGGCCTCTCTTAAGACAAAAAGAGAAGAAACATAATGCAGGATTTAAGGGCAAGACTGGCGGAAAAGATTCTGTGCGGCTGAGAATTAAACCAGGCAGTGGATAAACGTCGTAACTCTTGACTTCCTGCCCCAGAGAAATAATCAAACAGTGGACATAGCATAGCAAAAACAAAAAAGCCCTGTCTTAATGTAGCCTTGCATTGTGATGATAGCTCTCAGAAAAGACCCTAGTCATGGTAGTGATATTAACAACAAAAAAATAGATGTGTTTAATTTTATAAGTATTCAGTTAGCTGGAGCTTTACTACAGATGTTTTTATTAAGGTCTGGGACCAAGTGAAGGCGTCCAATCCTGACTTGAAGTTATGGGAAATTGGGAAGATCATTGGAGGGATGTGGCGAGACCTCACTGATGAAGAGAAGCAAGAGTACTTAAATGAATATGAAGCAGAAAAGGTACACGGAAGAAATCCCTCTCTCTCTCCCCCAAATGACACTGGACGTCTCTCTCTCACACGTGCACACACGAGGCTAAAATCTTTTTTAAAAAAGAAAGAGAGACTAGCTCTGGAGGAGGAGGTGATAAAGCAGACTCACATACGAGAGAGTTATTGAGGAAGGAAACTGAATCAACTCTTTGCTGTGCGAGCCCAGCTCTCCCGGGAGCTTTAAGGAAAGTATGGTAGAAACACGATACTTGGATTGCTTGAAAAGAGCCCACAACACCAGATCCTTCAATTAAACCTGAGTCGAGGTTGTGTGCCGTCCCTCTCTGCCCCCCAACTCTAAAGGCACCTGGAAATAAAGCACAGTTTAATGAGATTTCCCTCTTCCAGTTCCTCCCAGCATCACACTCCTCCTGTATTCCCTTTGCTGTTCATTATATATGGACGCGCACCGAAATGTTTAGATGACACCCTACCCTGCCTCTGGCTGTGAGACCTTTGCAGAGGAGAGCAGTTGAACCTCAGTAAAGCTGCCCTGAGATGTTGTCCACCCCTTGATTCGCGTGAAATTGGTCCTTGTTTTCCTGCAAGGAGCCTTTAGTCAGAAGGATTCCCCCAAGGGCAAGGGAGACTGTTTTGGGTGCGATTTTTAAAATGTATCTGTCAAAACTATAGATAGAGTACAACGAGTCAATGAAGGCCTACCATAACTCACCTGCTTACCTTGCCTACATCAACGCGAAAAGCCGCGCCGAAGCCGCCCTGGAGGAGGAAAGCCGGCAAAGGCAGTCCAGGATGGAGAAGGGCGAACCTTACATGAGCATCCAGCCCGCCGAAGACCCGGATGGTAAGCAGGAGTAGCAGGTGTGGTGCTTTTAGCCCGTAAGGAATGGCAAGGGGGTTGGTGGGGAAGCAGAAACTTCTTACTCCAAAAGGCTGCTTGGCAATAGAATTTAGCAGGAACCCTTGGGCCAGTTACTCGTCCCAAATCAATCTCTTGTCACTTACCCCCAGCAGCTTGGTGGTGGGTGATCCATACTACTAGAGGAGGAGGACCTCATTGTCCAGGCTGAACATTTAAGCTACCTGCATTAAGTGATACTGAATATATGCTCTTTAATCTTGGCAGAATCAAAACACATTCTTTTGCGGGGATCTGAGCAAAGAGCCTAGATCAGGGAATCAGAGGGAGCATCCCTCTTCTTTGCCTGCAGGAACAATCTCCAGCACAATCTCTGCGTGTCTGGTCTTTTGACTTGTGAAAGGCGTGAAAAGGGCCAGGTCCCCATTTCTTGGTGCCTTTTCCAAATCATGAGCTTTATTGCGGTGATTGCACAGCTCTGTTGAAGTGGCTGAATAGGATCAAGTCATCCTAGCTCTCTAACTCTTCAGTTGCAGGGAAACATGGATTTTTCCAGCTCTCACATTGCAACACCTTTTCTTGCTGTGTGTGTGTGTGTGTGTGTGTGTGTGTGAGAGAGAGAGAGAGCTCTGTTATCCTATCACTGGAACCTGTGTTTGCCAGGATTCAGCCTTCCAACTTGGGGTGAGGGTAACAGAGAACACACAAACCTATGCAGAATGCCTTTCATGAGACCACAGTAAGCCCTCACACACTTAGGATTTGCAGGGATGGGAGTTTAAGGAGACATAATAAGAATTACAAATAAGCTTCTCCTACTTCTCACGGCAGAAATTAAGCATGGGGTGAGGGATCATATTGAGTGCGCAATCATTTTATTTCTCGGGCCAGACTAAATGCTAGCCTTGCTGCTGTCAGACGTCCAACGTTTTTATCAATCTGAACTCATTGGCTGGAAGGGATGGGCTAGAAATTCAGGGTGGCTCCTCGGTGAAACCTATCCAAAAATAAAGTTTTGTTTAGATATGAGGCCAAACCCATAGCCGGTATTTATCCTCCCCCTCTTCAAAGCAAAAATTTAAAAAGCCCTTTGGTGCTTGACTGTCTCTGGCAGTCTTTTGTTTGTTTGTAGGTGGTTCTGGCTAGGGGAGGATGGGTGGGTGGCGGCAAGTTTGCCATTCAGTTTAAGCAATGACTTGTGCTGGGAAAGATGACAGGGCGAGGGCTTGCTGTTCTTCTGCAGAAAAGCAAACAAAACAAAAAGCCACCTTCCTGTTTCCTTTACTGATGGCACATATACATTCCTCTACAAAAAGAAGGCCAGTGCTCCACCCATCTGTGAAGCACAGCTTGGTTCCTTTCTCACTCTATGTAGCAGCCAAGGATGATGATGTTCATGATCGCTTTCATAAACAAACATAAGCTAGGGAAGAGACTCTTTAATGTAGAGGTAGAGTAGGGTCCTCTTATCATCCTGACCGTTGGCCACGCTGGCTAGAGGGCCACAGGCTGTCCAGCCCTAGGCTAGATCTTCCTACAGGTTGCCCTCTTCGCTCTTCCAAGGTTGCAATACTTCGCATACTAACATGGCAGAAAGCCTTGCGGAGCATAGCGAGGTTTTCTTCTGACTAAATGTGCTTCAGAGTGCAATGTACAGTGGTACCTCTGGTTACATACGCTTCAGGTTACAGACTCCGCTAACCCAGAAATAGTGCTTCAGGTTAAGAACTTTGCTTCAGGATGAGAACAGAAATCGTGCTCCGGCGGTGCGGTAGCAGCAGGGGGCCCCATTAGCTAAAGTGGTGCTTCAGGTTAAGAACAGTTTCAGGTTAAGTACGGACCTCCAGAACGAATTAAGTACTTAAGAATTAAGTACCACTGTTGGCTTCCTCTAATTGCGAATCCGTCTGCGGCTTCTGTATGAGAGAAAAGAACCTGCATCTAGTGACACTTAGAACAGGAAACATTGAGTTTGAAAGCTTGTAGGTCGTGGTGGCTAAAGGCACGAGCTGGGTTGTCTACTGTTCAAATAACAGTTCAGTCCTGAACTCGTTGGACAGCATAAGAGTCACACACAGTTTAAAAGGCCATGGATTGTTGAATTAGCCAAAGGCCTAGGAGAAGAGGAATGTTTTTGCCTGGTGCCTAAAGATATGTTAACAAAGGCACCAGGCAGGCCTTCTTGGGGAGAGCACTCCACAAAGCCAAGCTTCAGGATTTCGGGAAACTTGGAGATTCTTGGGAGGGATAGCGAAGTGACAGAAAGGAATAGAGTGAACAGAAAGCTGTACACTTCAAGAGGTTGTATCCAATCTTAGTCCTACTTTAGGTACAGCCATCAAAATAAGCAACCTAAGATAGTCGTTCCCATTACTACAGTGAGTCTACTTGTGAGTAGGACTTGACATTAGATACAACCCAAAGTTATTAGCAGTGTTACCTGTGAAGCTAAGCAGTGTTAAAACTGCAAACTGCCCTGGTATCTTCTATAATGTAACTACTGCATACATTTTTGTTTCAGATTATGACGACGGGTTTTCTATGAAGCACACTGCCACAGCCCGTTTCCAGAGAAATCACCGCTTAATTAGTGAGATTCTGAGTGAAAGCGTCGTCCCCGATGTCAGATCCGTGGTCACCACGGCAAGGATGCAGGTTCTCAAACGCCAAGTCCAGTCCTTAATGGTTCACCAGGTAAAGTTTGGCTATATGAGAACGCTTAATAAATGTAATAGCTTTTCATGTGAGATGTGCCCGGGGGATATCTGTGCCTATAACAGCAGCGGTCACACACACACACACACCCCTGTGTTTTGAAATCTACCTGTTATTCAGGTAAAATCTCCCCGTTGTTGAGCCCTGTCACTAGCACTGCTAGGGAGGGGGCCTTTTCTCTGCTGATGGTGAAGAAAAATTTGAAATACCTTCAGTATTTTCTTTATTAGAAATACTGAACTTTGTTCTGTCCTTGGGCTCTGAAATCATCCATAATATTGGACTTCCTGTGGCCTGAAATTGTTTGAGCACAGCAGCTGCTCCTGTTTAGAGACACGTTTGGCAAACTTTTTTCTGATTTGTTACAGTCCTGTTCAACTCTAGTTCTTGTTTTAAAAGTCCTCCCTCCAATCCACAACTCAGGGGCTCCCCCCCCCACCGCCCACTTTCTTTCAAGATGGTGCAGAAATATAAGATGGTGTTGTTTTTCTTGAATGATTTGTTTACCTTTCATTTTCTTCCACCTCATCCCAAACAACTCGTGTATCGTTATTTGTATCTCTTGCTGCTGCTTCTTGCAAGTGTGTCTTGCGGGGGGAGCGGAACTTGCTATAAACATGCATGTTTTTCAAAAAGCAGCTTGGGGAGAACCTACAAGTCTCTTGAAGTAGCTGAACACATATCCTGGGCATATGATTCACACACACAGAGAGAGAGAGAGAGAGAACTTACCTCTTTCTGACTTTTGGGAATTGTGGGGGGAGGCCCAACATTCAGCGCTTTAGACGATTTCTGTAGAGAGATCAAATGTAACAAAAGGTCTGGACTACCTCTTTAAATATCCCCGTACATGCTGTACTTTGTCACAGAGATTCAACTGTTGAACCGGGTGAAACTAGGAGCCACTCTTTCTAAAGACGCTGTTGCAACTTTTCATTAGCATGCAAACTGCCAGAGGCTATTTCTCTGCATGCTAGGGTTTGTTTCCCGAGTTGCTAAATATGTGAACTAAGTGTTCCTTCTCCAAGATTTAGGATAGAAAAACAATGGTATGTACAGGGTGTGGGGAACCTAAACTGAAAACCAAGTTACGGATTGGTTACAATACCATCAGTTACATGAAATGTTTAAATTAGATAGGAAAAAAATGGTTTTTCAGACCAAAGCTCACAATTCAAAAAAGAACTTATACAAAACAAAGAGAAACTTTTGTCGAAAATGTATAATATGTTATTAGACTGGGAAACAAAAGACAAGCTTGTTAGAGCCTCAATGACACACTGGGCAATAGATATAGGACACAAAATAGATTTTAACCTCTGGGGAAAACTCTGGGAAAGTGACTTGAAGTTTACAGCATGCTATTCTTTGAAGGCGAACTACCTGAAAATGATTCGCATTTAACTCTGAGTAGGCTTGCTAAGATGTATAAGACTGAATCAGATAAGTGCTGGAGATGCAAAGAGGTGGACGGAACGTTCTTTCATATATGATGGGCTTGTAAAAGGGTAAAAGAGTATTGGGAAATGATCCACAATGAATTGGAAAAAAAATGTTTAAAAATACTTTCCCTCAAAAAACAGCGTCCTTTCTGTTGGGGATAATTCAGACTGAAATTCCCAGGCTTCGAAAAAGGTTATTTATCTATGCTACATGTTTTGTTAGCCCAAAAATGGAAAACAAGCGAGGTCCCAACCAAAGAAGAATGACAACTTTAGTTGACAGAATATGCACAACTTGCAGACTTAACATATAGAATAAGAGAACAAGAAGAACATACATTTAGAGAAGATTGGAAAACATCTATTGAATAGATGGGAAATAATTGTGTACAGCTGAAAACGTTGGCAGCATTAAGATAAATTCATGTAAATAAGTTATGATGGATGCAATAATGGAATACTGAATGGTATAGTTTTTGTAAAATATGCAGGGATTTATGATATGTAAAATGAAGTATGGAAAGAGAAGAAGGGAAGTCATTGATGTCTTAAGGATGTAAAATGAGCCACCTCTTTTTAGTGCAACTGTATAATACCTGACCCTGAACTGTTGGTTCCACAGTGTTGGACCCACCACCAATAAGTCCTTGGGTAGAGCTTACACTTAGCTATGAGGACAACTTGAGAATTCCTTTGTATACTTCAGGAGGCAGCATATGTGCATATTAAAACTAACTTCAATATAGCACTGCACCTTCTGAACTGTGTGGCTAAAAAGCCAGCCCAACTAACACCTTCCAAATGCATTCAGGCTGACAAATCTCTTGGGAAAGAGTTCACGGTTGTGGACCATCTCGGCACACAAATGGAAATGTCACCAGGACACACTCAATTGATAATAGAAGGACTTGTAAAATATGGATCTTAGCGTTCAAGCAGTCAGGCATGTGTGTATGTATATGGAGAGGAATGGAGTGAGAGAGAGATTCTTATTTTAAAGCACAGATAAATTAGCATTTTTACAGCCATTTGCAATGTCTTTAAGCTTGGGTCTGGAGCGTAATAACCTGTTTGTAAAGTGTTTGAGGCATTCTGGTGTGCTGCCAAAAATAAACTTTACTTCCTTATTAGCAGAAATTAAGGACGTGATTATACTACAGTCTTAAACCTTCCCACATACACACATCCCAAATATGGGTCTTTAGAATTATGATCCCGTGAAGAGGCCTCAGCTCTAACCATTCTTACAAGTCTCAGGCAGAGGGATGTTTGAAATGGTCCACAGGCAAGAGAGTGGCAAGAATTTATTGGGAGGTGTTTGCCAGTGGAATAAAATGGTTCGCATTACTTGGCCTCATTTTGTTTCTGAAATCATCTGCTTTTCTTTCAAAGTAGAGGATCTGCATATTTTTCTTCAAATTCCCCACTCTCAAATATAGCAGTCTTTTGCATGAACATTTGAATTAACTTGTGTGTTTGTGTTGCAGCTATGTGCTCACTTTTTAATCTCATTTTCCACTTACAGCGGAAACTAGAAGCTGAGCTCCTGCAGATAGAAGAACGTCACCAGGACAAGAAAAGGAAGTTCCTGGAGAGTACAGAATCCTTTAATAATGAGCTGAAGAGGGTAGGGTTCTGCAGAGCTTTTCTACTTGTTCCATGGACTAGTAGGCTTTCTCAGTCAAGGGCTGATATGTGACTCCCCAAAACAGAGAGGAGGAAGAGCTGAAATCCTCTGCCATTGCAATTTTCTAAAGCTTTGATCTACTGAGTCTGTCCGGTTCCATGAACTCTTTTGTCTGGAAAGACTAGGGAATGAGCCTGAGACTTTGTTTTCTGCTGCGTATCAGCCCTAGGGTAGGTTTAGTTTCCTTTGAAGCAAGGCTTCACCTTTTGAAATATTGTGCCTCCCAGTACACAGGTTGGGAAGGAGCAAAAGGGAAATAGCATCTTGCACCAGTAATCTAGTTCCAAGACAAAATAAATACAGGCCCAAAGAGTTCACAGACTTTCCTCGTAAGAGCTAGCTCTCACTGAGATGGTTAACTTGCACCATGTCCAAAGGCAGTTTGTGGAGAAGACTTCAAATAGAAGATTAGCGTTCTCACTAACATGCTGGGTTTCAGGTGGCCTGTCTCACTAACCTCCTAGCTTACTATGTGTAGGAATATTGTCAGTGGGGGAGCATTCTCTCATGTGAGCCAAACACACCTTAGTCCAGCCTTTCTCAACCTGTGGGTCCCCAGATGTTGTTGAACTACAACTCCCATCACCCCTAGCTAGCAAGGCCAGAGCTCAGGGATGATGGGAATTGTAGTCCAACAACATCTGGGGACCCACAGGTTGAGAACCGCTGCCTTAGTCTGACACCCAGACATATTAATCACTTCTCTGGAAACGAGGCCCATCTCAGCTTTTAAGATTCAGCAAGGCTCACAATATTTGACGTGGAATGAACGCGATGGCTCACCTCCAACATACCCAGCTCCTGTGCTTCCTGGTGACTCATATCATGATGTTTGAGACCAAAACAGCAGAACTGCTTTCTGTCTTAGTAACTATTCACTTTTGCGCAGTGCTTCTTTCTGGGGGGACACAGGGGGACGCATACCCCTAAACATTTTATGAATCTAAGTTTGGCCTCATTGAGGGGCAGTATTTCAGGATGAGTAGGAAAATGAGAGTACCCCTAAACTTTTTTTTTAAAGCACTGCTTTTGCTCCAGGCCCACGTAACACCCCAAGCTAAACTGCACGCTCATTGTTGCTGGCCAAGTTCCTTTTATTAATGAAATGGTTGTTTGACAAAGGGGAGTGATTCCGTTTCAGTACCGCAACCCGTCCTGACTAGCTGAAACTCTAGAGGAAACATCTAGGGAGTTGCAGTCTGGCTGTTGGAGCCTGCTGTAGAAAACTGAAGGTGTGAAATTCAGATTATCATTGGAACGACAACATCCCCCCAAAAAATAATGCATGTCACTTTTCCACACAAAGCAGTTTGCCACATAAGTACAGCAATGACAGAAATATAAAAACTCCCATCGTAATCCCAGCTTGATGTGTCAGAGGGGCGTGTGTAAAATCTGTTCCACAAACAGAACCATTTATGGGTAAGAAAATTTTCAAAACCTGACGCAGTAGGTGTTTTTATAGTAAACCATGGCTACAACCAGTGCTTTTTTTTTCCCCTAAAAAAATGTTTAAGGGTACTCTCATTTTCCTACTCATCTTGAAATACTGCCCCTCAGTGAAGCCAAACTCAGATTCACAAAATGTTTAGGGGTATGCATTTCCCCCCCCCCCCCCCCAGAAAAAAGGCACTGGCTGCAACAGTCAGCTTTTTGTCTCTGGTATGTGAGTGAAGCAATCCACACACACACACACACACACAGCCTTCTGTACAAGAGGGGCTTTGAATGGAGCGGAGATGTCCCCCTGCCCTGTGTGGCACTGCCGGAGCTCCACCGTAGGCGGGGAAGCCCTGCTGGTCAGAAGTGTCCCAGTGCTCCTGCCCAAACAGCAGGCAAGCAGAAACTGCTGGCGGTGGCATCCTGGCCGGCAGTAGCCAACAGAAACCCCTGAAATGTGATTTTGCGGGAGGGAAGTGCTGGCTCCTGTGTCGACCCTCCTGCCATCACATGGCAGCCACAGGGCCAACCTGGGATGCTTTGCTGTTCCAGCCTGGGAGCTGACTCGGTGAAGGGGGACATTTTCCCTGCCTCTCTCCCCATACCTTCTTCCCTGGCTGGCGCGAATGCTGTGGCTGTGAATGCATCGCTGGCTGTGCTGCGTCACCAAGCCCCACAGGATTTTTGGGGGGTGAATTAATCTATAAGCACTTTCCAACAGGAATCTTACCAATCCTGTTGAAATAAAGATGTGAGCCTGGAATATCCCCACCACCGGAACCAAGCAGTGATAGATCGGACTAGTTCAAATTAATTTTAAAGGTGTTTTTTTTGTAAGCTACAACTGAAACACACAAAGCTTGTTGGTTCTTAGGAATAATAGTTTCTGAGCTTTGCCAGCACAGATGGCTTGCAGTTGCCTCAAATGTTGGATTTTGGCTTTGATTCTGTGCTAAAATATCTATTTAAGATAGTGTATATGAATCACACCTACAGTGTGATTTATTCATACATATTGTGCATCATATTTCTGCTGTATGTATTATTCCCTTATTGTATATCGGAGGGAGGGGAGACTGAAGTTGGGAGAAAATGCCATGCCTAAGGCTGCCTAGTGACGTCATAGTGGAGACAGGACTTGGGCCTGCAGCCCCAAGGTGATGAGAGAACCTGGATATTAAAAGTGACCCGTGATTTTTCCCTCTTCCCCACATCCAGCTGTGCAGCCTGAAGGTGGAGGTGGACATGGAGAAGATAGCAGCCGAAATCGCTCAGGCCGAGGAGCAGGCCCGCAAGCGGCAGGAGGAGAGGGAGAAGGAGGCCGCGGAGCAAGCCGAGCGCAATCAGAACAGCACAAGCGCCGAGGAGGAGCAAGCAGCCAGCAAGGCAGAGGAGAAGAAAGAGGAGGGGAGCACTCCAATGGAAGCAGGTAATCGTGTGGCAAGCCCGGGGGGGGGGGGGCTTCCCTTGAAGCAGCAGTGGTGCATGAGGGGGGCATGTAGCCGAGGTCGGAAGAAGGGCTGATGTTTTAAACTGAGCCTTTTCTTAAAGGATCTGGAGTCTGTATAGTGGTACCTCGGGTTACAGACACTTCAGGTTACAGACGCTTCAGGTTACAGACTCCACTAACCCAGAAATAGTACCTCGGGTTAAGAACTTTACCTCAGGATGAGAACAGAAATTGCACGGCGGCAGCGAGAGGCCCCATTAGCTAAAGTGGTACCTCAGGTTAAGAACAGTTTCAGGTTAAGAACGGACCTCCAGAACGAATTAAGTTCTTAACCCGAGGTACCACTGTATCGAGTAGCACAGTTGAGTTTTAATAGGCTCCCCATCAACCAGTGGCTCCCCCTTTTTCACGTCTCGCGCATCACTGCGGGAACAGGTTACAGCCATGTCTGGTGATGCAGATGTGAAGAAGACTGAACTCTGCATTGACTTAATAACCAGGGCTTGTCTTTAGTTGCCATTTATGATACAGCCAGACTTTCATTCAAACAAGGTCTCCTCTTCTGTGAGAAAAAAGAGGAAGAACTTTCCCGAACTTGGTGCAGTCCGGCTGGGTAAGAGCCTTGAAGTAGAGGTGGCCAGAGCGGGAGTTCTTCCTCGATTTATGCCTCTGGGTCCAGCAGCTGATGGTTCAATGGAAAACAAGTTTGCCTCTGAGGGGCCCTTTTCTCTTAGTAGGCATTGAGGCTTTGTAACAACTAGTTCCCACTCCACCCCGCAGCCAGGGGGAAACAAAGCTCTCAGGGAAGAATAGAATAGAGAAACTGCATTTCCTTACATGCTTTCCTTGTTGGGAGAGAGTGCAGAGCCCCCCAGACCCTAGCATCATAGAATTGTGGAGTTGGAAGGGGCCGCAAGAGTCATCTAGTCTAAACCCCTGTAATGCAGGAATCTTTTGCCCAACATGGGGCTTGAACCCATGGCCCTGAGATTAAGGGTCTCATGCTCTACCAACTGAGCTACCAAGACTGAAAGAATGAACTCCGGAGAAGTCTACGGGGAAATAGTAGGCCTGCTCCTTTCATCATTGCTCATAACTCAGTTATATTGTTTCATTAGTAACATAAGAGGGAAAATGACTATTGCTCGTTCTTAATCTAAGCACAATCACCAGGACTCCTGATTAGGCGTTTGGGTATGTGATGTTAATTGAATGTTAATTCTATTCTGTCCCGTTTCCCCCTTTTTATTGTTTTTCTTAAACCACTTCACAAACCAGGAACTTACACATTGACCACTAATCATGAACCATATGTTGTAGATATCACTACAAATTTATTATGCTCCTTTTGTGATACACAAATGCCATGAGACTTGGTCTATTTATTTGTATCATTTATTATTCCTGTGATCCTTATTTATGAAGCCTAATAAAAAAGTTATTTAAATAAGAATACGAATAATAACTCTGATACAGTTTGAAGGGTTATGCAGCCAGGCAGCAGGGCCTGCAGCCAGAATTGTTGAGGAAACCCAGCCAGATGGGTGGGGTATAAATTATTAGTATTATTATTCCTTGGATCTAGGAGGGGTGGTGTTGGTAGGGATTGCCCCTTTTTGTGCAGACCACGAAAGCACTTCTGCCTCTCCGCCATCCTGATTGTGCTCACATCTTAATTTGGGGCATAAGGAAGGCAGGAACTAGACTGTGCCAACACCTCCCAAAGAAATATGTCAGTAAGGGAAAGCTTTTGTGTGGAATTGGACTTCCTTGAATCTGTTCCCCATTGTACTGCACACTCTCCCTTCATTCGCTCAGCCCAGCAGTGGATTACCATGGCTATAGTGATGCCTCCTCACCTTTCCCCCACATCTTCCCAACAACAATTCACAGCCCTTTCTGCCCCTAAGCCCCTGTACTGGCAGATCTTAGCCTTCAAAATGCTCATTCCATGACATCATAGCAGTCCGGCCAATGGTTGGAGAGGTGGCTGCACATTTTCAGTAAAGGGAAGTTAGAGTTCATGCAGCAGGCCAGCTAGGGAGGTTTCAAACAATGCTGGTGGAATTTAAGCTGGAGGATTTGGGGAAACTGCAATTAAAACAGGTTCTGAATTTCCGTACCTTGTTTAATATGATTACTGAGCCATATCCCTGTGGTAAGTAACCAGTCTGCCAAATTCCCCTTTGTATATACTTGGTTGTTACACAACCTAGGCTCTACAAGCCAACTATTGCCCCAAGAATCTACAAACAATACCCATCTTACGAATAGCAACTCTCAAGACAGGATTGCTTTGTTTTGTTTTCTTTCTGGGCATGCCATGCGTTGTTTGGACGCCTATTGTTGTGCCTGAAAAGCTTTCTAAATTCAAAGGAGGGGAAATCTCACTGACAAACTTGTTTCTATGGCAGAGGAGCCTCCTGCGGAAGAAACCATTGAGAGCCAGCAAAACGGTGAAGGGACATCCACTCCGGAAGACAAGGAGAGTGGCCAGGAAGGAGTCGAAAGCATGGCGGAGGAAGGAACGAGTGACAGCAACACCGGCTCCGAAAGCAACAGCGCCATGGTCGAAGAACCGCCAGCTGACCCGGTGGTTCCGGAAGACAGTGAAAAGAAAGAATAAATTTTTAGCTACTTTTCATGCATCTCCCTTTTTTAAAAACAAAAGATTAACAGCATGAGAAAGAAAAGAGGTGGCATGTAGGTTCCTCTTGGTATCGTTTCATGTATATTGGTCACCACCAAATGGTTACTGGGCATTTTAACTTTTTGTGACATCAGATATCCAGGGGTCACGAATGGATTTAGAGCGATCATTTGGCACAGAAGCAGATCACAGCTCGCACACAGCTGCATCATAATCCACAACAGCAGCATCACTCTTCTCTCTCAAGGAAGCAATTTTACTCTATGATTTGCTTTTTAAAATTTTCCTTATGCCCTCTTTCCAGGGAAAAGTTATAGAGTGTTTTAGAGAAGCATCCACATATCTGAATAATCCCTTTGTTCTCAGTTGGAGACTTGGCAACTTCAAATCAGCTTATTAAGTTATAAGTTCTGCCAAATTCACTCTCCCTCTTTCACATTATTTAAAATTGTGTGTGGAACTGATACTCCAGATTTCCATTCCTTTCAGATATAATTAAAAATTGGTGATCAGTGAAAAGAAAACTTCCTTCCTGCAAAATTAAATTGCCATTCGTTTTTGTGAAGAAAGGAAATTTCCTCTCTACCCAAAACACTTTTAAAACACCACCACACACCTCATAGTTTTAAACTAGTTTTTTTTTTTTATCTAAAGAACTTGTTAAGGAAATCCTTATACAACTTTGCATGGAAATAGCATGGAAAGATCTGGATAAGAGCTACAATCGCCGGACACCTTCTTTGCTCTTAATGTTCCCCTTTTTCATTGTCTGTAAAAGAAAATCTGACTTTCCAACACTGAGAGAAAAAAACGGAGATAAATGTAATATTTCAGAAGTCTGAAATGTGAGAAAGGCCTTTAACCAGAATGCAGTTTCTCCCCAGGCACATGGTGATTAAGACCATTCCCACTGAAAATGCAGCTGCATTATACAGCTTCGTTAAGTCTTGCGGCTCTATGGAGCAATGTGGGATCCTTGAGGGATTCCCATCACCGCCATTTTTATTCTCCTTGATCCCTTTCCTAAGAACGATTTGATGCAAAGGCGGTAGTGGAACACAATCCAAGGCAATTGTTTGAAGCTTGTCAGAGTATTTCCCCTCCCACGCTGCGCTGTGCTACCACAGCACCATGCAAGCAATTCACGTCAAACAGCTTTTTGGAGTTGCAGCGAGCTCTTAGGATCCCTTACAGCACCACCAAGTTATTTGTTTTCCTTGTTAAACGCTGGCTGTCTGAGAATTCTGCTTCAGGGTTGCCCTCCACAGACGTCTTCTCAGAGGATTAAAAAATAAATTAGTAACTTTAAGGGAAGGCAACGCCAGTCTTTTTGTGAGTGTCTCCTAATCCCTTGTTGGTTTAAGGATTTATGGTGGGTTTTGTTTTGTTTTGTTTTGTTTTTCAAACAACTCTCTTTGTTCTGTTTTAAATGGTTTTTCACGTAATAAACTAAAACATGTTTTAAGAAAATGGAAAAGTGGTAGCGGTCTGTACTTGTCTCAAACACATTTGTTTAAAGCACTGGTTCCCCATCCCCAAGGAGGGGAAATAGACCTCTGAAGAGAACCATCTTTTTTTTTTAAAAAAAAGCTTCAACTCCTTCCAACAAGCCTGTACAGTCATAGCTTGGTTCTTGAACGGAAACTGTTCCAGAAGTCTGTTCGACTTTCGAAAACGTTTGGAAACCAAGACACGGCTTCCGATTGGCTGCAGGCGCTTCCTACACCAATCGGAAGCTGCGTCAGACGTTCGGCTTCCAAACAACATTAGCAAACCGGAACACTCACTTCCGGGTTTGCGGCATTCAGGAGCCAAAACGTTCGAGAACCAAGGTCTGACTGTACAACACATTGAAAGTGCATCCTCCCCAAAGAAGCATGGGAATTATAGTTAACCCCTTCACAGAGCTATAGTTCCCAGGGGTCTTCACAGGGAGGGGTGCTTGAAAGGTATGGTATGGTATGTACGCAGCCTGGGAGACCTGGCTTCAAATCTCCATTCTGCCCCATGACCTTTGGCCAGTCATCTCTCAGCCTACCTCACAAGGCATTGTGAAGATATAATAGGGTAAATGCTTGACTGTACATTTACCAGCACAGATTATATGTGTCCCACCTTTTTTATTTTCTGCCTCCCTCCTCAGTTTGCCTTCACTGATCTCACCAGTTAACCAAATCTGCAATGCGCTCACCTCGCCCTCTTATAACAGAGTCATCCTTGACAGGCAAGATTGCCTATACAGGAATAATCCAGGAAGTAGTAACTTTGAAGGGAAACGGTACCAAACCAACAACAGAGCGGGAAAACCATGGCAGCGAGCAAGATCAAAAAAGAAATTTAATCTCTCAATTGAAGGGATTTCTGAGGAATATTTCAGTTCCCATGAAAAGGTGGTTTTCATTCCCCCCCCCCAAAAAAAATCTAAATGAAAGTATATTCAGGACTGCCCTAATGATGCACCCCTGAACCTGTAGAGACGACTGCTGGCCAGTCTTTGCTGTGCTGGGACGATTTAGTTCTTTCTTGGTTGGTTGCAAATACATCAGAGCTTTGGCAGGGAATCTTGAGAAAGAGACTGTAAGGTGGGGGGGGGCATGGAGCATGAGCCCCAGGGAACCAGCAAGTTCGTGGCCTCTGTACCAACACGGACAACCATCTAGAGAACCTGCAAAACTAGTTAAGGACATACCACTTCTCGCCCTCAGAGATGAGCATATTAAACACTTACTTTATGCCCTGCTTTTCCTTGCAAGGAGCTCAAGGCAGCAAACCTGGTCCCCCTCACCTAATCTTCACAACCACCCTGTGAGGTAGGTCAGGCAGAGAAAAAGGAGAACTGGACTACGATCACCCTATAAGCTCCATGGCTAAGCAAGGATTTGAAGCTGGCCCTCTTCCGTCGTCACCTGGTGCTCTAACCCAGCCATTGCCAATCTGGGGTCCTTGACACTTTTTCTCTACAACTCATACCAGCACATGCTAGTCAAAGCTGATGAGAGTTGTAGTCCAAGACATCTGGAGGCACTGGGCTGGTGAAGCCTGCTCTAACCATTGCACCACGCTGCCTCTCTGCTGCTGCTGCTGCTGCTGCTGCTGCTGTTGGCAGCTGGCCCTGGTGTCTCTCGAGTCGCTTCTGATGCTTTAAAATGCTCTTTCATGGTTTTCGTTTGTTTTTTTCTTTTAAGAGCCTCTAAGCCCAGGCTCCACCGCTTTGCACACCTCCTTGCTTAGCAGTTGGGTGGGGAGCAAATGATTTTCCGTAACATTGCCCGCGGTAACTTTCAGAGCTTGTGTGTTCCGATGTGAAATCCCCAGGAGGACTTGGCTCCCAGAGACGGTTAAAATCCACACCATCAAAGTCCCTTGAGCATGCTCTCCACCCGATGCACAGCTTGCCCTGTTGCAACATGCTTTCTTCGTTATCTTGTGTCTTCGGTGCATAAATCGGAACATCATTTGCCATGCATGGACTGAACTTTGTTTAGGACCTTCATTCAGATGAATCTGGAGGAACCTCAAGGCATCCACTTGGGCATTAAGAACAAATGACAAGATCACAAAGAACCGAAGGACTCTTACGACGATTGCAATGTGCATCTCTCTCTCTCCATTGGCATTCAGTTAGTTAGCTTTGCCATTGGGGCTGAAACCAGTTATGTGAAATCGGCCGAGATCAAAGTGCAGATTCACGTGGGAAACACTGCAGAGGGTTGCGTGGCTTAATTTGGGGGAAGGTTTGTAGCTTAGCACTAAATCATTTTTGTTTTGCATGCAGAAGGTTCCTGCTTCAATCCCTGGCATCTCCAAGTGGGGCTGGGAAAGTCCCTTGCCTGAAACTCTGGAAAGCTGCTTCCAGTCAGTGTGGACAATATTAAGCTGGGTGGACCGCTGGTCTCTGTATAACGCAGTTTCCTGTGTTCCTATATTGTGGAGGGTGGAGAAGCAGTTGTGTCTCTGCTAGATCTTTGCCTATGTGTTCCTCTCAAACAAGAAGCTGCCAACATTCTCCCTCTTATCAGGGCCATCTTTAGCATATGTGGCACTGGGGTGCAAAAAAACTGTCCAGCGCCCCCAATTTTTTGGGGGGAGGCTAAAGTTGTTGAGCTTTTTGGGGGGTACGCAACTCCCCTGCAGAGGCTTGGGAGGAAAGCTGTGTGCCTCGCGTGAGCAGTGTGCGTGCGCTGGGCAGGCCTCTCGATGGCCCACCAATCCCAGGGACGCAGGAGGGTGGAGCCGGCCGGCTGCCTCAGCGCCAACAGCAGAAAAGCCTGCAGCGCTCCGACAGGCTCTGCTCCGCTCGACAGCGGCTGTTTGGCTGGCCTGGCTCTTCAATCCCCGGACTCCAAATCTCAGCTCCAGACTCTAGGCCCGGAGCCCCTGAGAGCCCGGTCCCTGGGTGCCCCGCACCCCTAGCACCTATGGGTAAGCCGGCCCTGATCCCAGTATATTGATAAGTCAGTGCCTGGATGGATACAGCTCTGAGTCTCCAAGGGGAAAACAGCTTAATTTCTAAACTGAGTACAATGGTACCTCTGGTTGCGAACGGGATCCGTTCCGGAGGCCCATTCGCAACATGAAGGGAATGCAGCCCGCAGTGGCGCGTCTGCTCACACGCGGGTTGCGATTCGCCGCTTCTACGCATGCGCATGATGTTATTTTGCATGTCTACGCATGCGCAAGTGGCGAAACCCAGAAGTAACCCTTTCTGGCACTTCTGGGTCACCGCGGGACGCAACCTGAAAAAACGTAACATGAAGCAAATGTAACATGAGGTATGACTGTATTGCAGATTCGTAAACCTGCCTGGAGGTTATAGCGTGTAGGGGTTTTTTAATCCTAGATTCAGTTGTATATCATAGAGGAGGGTAGTTGCCCTTTCAATGCAAGGCATTTTGCACATGCTCATATAAACTTTAAGGGAGGGGGAAGCAACCTTCAGCTATTCACGAGCCAAGCCACAGTCTTGATGCCACAGTCTCAGGCTCTTTGCCTTAAATTCAGCCTGCCGGATACAATTCTCTCACAAGGTATTTTTGTGCTTTGTTTCTCTGGCCACAGAAATTGATTTTCGAAGCTTCCAGTGAGCAAGACTCATGTTTCCAGCAAAAGACAGCCAAACTTTATTGTACAGAGACAGATTATTAGGGGAAAGGGTGCAATTTGATTGGCGATCTTATTACTGAAGAATTGTAACATGCTTCTCTCCCACCACCCCCGCCTCATTGCCCAGTTTTCTTCTGTGCTTTCAATTTGACGCTCTTATACTGAAACGAATAACTTGCGTCCATGTTACAATCCTATACTGAAAACAACAGCTTGTCTTCTACAAAGACAGGACGCTGCTTTATACTGAATCAGGCCATTGGTCCATGAAGCTCAATATGTGTCTGCACTGATTGGCAGAAGCTCTCCAGGGTTTCAGCCCTGCAGAGGTCCCAGGCCTACCTGGAGACTCTGGGGATTGAACTGGCAACACTAGGTCAGTGCATCTGGCTGTTAACCAGAAGGTTGGTGGTTCGAGCCCCCTGCCACACCGAGATGGCTGGGGGGTTGGACTAGATGGCCCCAGAGACCCCTTCAAACTCTACGGTTCTATGGTTCTATGATTCTGATTCTAATTGCAAAGCGGATGCTCTGCAACTGAGCAGAAATCAAGGATTTGCATGCCTCTGCAGTGTAACCACCTTGATTGTGGCAAGGTTTTAATTCCCCCTCCCATTCAAAGCCATTTTGGGTTTTCAACAGGTGCCCAAATTCTCATGGCAGGTTTTAATTAACAGTAATTAGCGGCAAAGACAGAATGTCTTGCTGGAAAAGGGCGTGTTGTGCAAAAGGGGAGAAGTAACACGTCTTGTTAATTTTTTCCCACAATAGAAGTGGTGAAACGGAGTAGCCTGAACCTCGGAGGATCTGCTTGGACGAAACCACCAAGTGAACAGCTAAGCCGCTAAGTCGCCGCGCTCTCAGTAACACGAGATCAACTTGTCAGATGAGTCATGGCTGTGTTCGTGCCGATGACGGGCTGGCGCTGTTGTAACGGTGGTTAAAGATCATCGTACGCAGACGCAAGCTGGCTCTCCGGGGCTGGCCTGCCACTTAAGTGCCTGTTCCACATAAGTAGCCTGGTATTTTGCAGGGCACGCCTTAGATCAGGTAGGCTTAAAGGCGTGTGGGCAATGCCTGCTAAGATCTCCGGAGCTCAGGAACACAATACTAAGGCAATCCAAAACCATTTTGTTGCCACAGGAAAAAGAGGATCCTGATGCCTGCAGCAGCAGCAGCAGCACCCAGGGATACGGGAGAAATAGATTAATTGCACATACAAAGGCGTGATACATAGCTGTCAACTTTTCCCTTTTCTTGCGAGGAATTCTATTCCGAATAAGGGAATTTCCCTTTAAAAAAGGGGAAAGTTGACAGCTATGGCGTAATGCAGTTCTCTCACATTTGTACTTTCTGAAACAATTTGCAAACCTAAAGCACAACTGTCCTCCGAGACCCACGCTTCTCTGAAAGCCGCAACGCAATTCTCTGGCCAAGTAATGGGTCCAAAAATGCAATACAGGAAAGCGTGCACAAAAATGCAAATATTAGTGAAAATAAGCAGAACGGAATGCATTCTATCTGGGGCCTTTGCTTTGCAAGTAATGAGTAAATTAGGCAAAATGGCGCACACACCAAATGTGTATATTACGAGGAATTTGTTCTAGTGCTGGTGAATTTTCGTGAGGGCTTAAAGAAGAATTGCATACTGAAGCGGAATTGTGGAGAACTGAATTTAAGGTTGGAAAAAAGGTGTTTATTTATGTTCATTTAATAAAATCAATACACCACAGAATAGCTGGGAAAACCCAGCCAGATGGGCGAGGAGTAAATAATAAATTATTATAATTATTACTTGATTAGGGGGGAAACACACCCTCAAAGCGGTTCACAAAAAGGTAAAGTGATAAAAGCAGGAAAAATATACAGCCCTACTTTAAAACATACAACAGTTAAAATACTGAAACAGATTAAAATTACATCAGCTTTCTAAGCATCTAAGTAGGCTTGTCAAAACAAGATATATAGATATATTTGCAGGCACCAAAAGGAGTCCAGGGGAATGAGAAACTGAGAGAAATGGAAACTGACAGAATTGCCCATTCCTACCCACACTCTAATTCCATCTACCAAACCTCATGGGACTACTAGCTGACTCTTCCTTATCAGCAGAAGGAGAGCAACGTCTACCAAATCTGAAGGCGGCAGACTAGCTTAGGGGGCTCAGACGAAAAGGCAGGGAGCTGTTCCATCCCTAGCACCTGCCAACTAATACAACAGCCTCACGGCAGGGCCGGCCCTGACAGAAGAACCCTGCAAGGCCAGGCCAGAGTTTCCCAAACTTGGTTCTCCAGCTGTTTTTGGACTACAACTCCCATCATCCCTCGCTAGCAGGACCAGTGGTCAGGGATGATGGGAACTGTAGTCCAAAAACAGCTGGAGACCCAAGTTTGGGAAACAGTGGTTTTAATTAATTGTTTACGAATTAATTGTTGATTATAACAATTAACTCATTACCAAAGCAATGCAAACACGCCTTTTGGGGTAGACGATGGTGAGGGGGTTTAGTTAGGGGGCATGGGAGTACAAGGGCAGGAGAAATCAAAACATACGAATACACGGACTCTCAAAACGATTCTCCACTTAAGCCCACAGTGGCATCAGAGCGCACGCCTGCTACTTCATATAACTTCATATAATTAGATCCAAGGAAGCTGAGAAGAGCTTGCTGTTTCACAGCAAACCCACAGGAGGGCACTGGAAACAAAGAAATAGAGTTGCCTTGTCAGTCTCATAACTATATACACACCATAGCTGCCAACCATCCCTTATTTGGCGGGAAACTCCCTTATCCCAGAGCCATGTCCCGCTGCTGTCCCGGATTGATAATGTCCCTTAAATTTCCCAGGTTTCATGCTGCCCAACTCGGGAGGGAAGCAGCGGCTCAGGGTCCTCCGCCGTGAGAGAGAGCACGCGCACGAGCTGCCGCGTCTCCGTGTCTCCCTTTTCCCCCTCGGGCACGTCGTGAGGAGACGAGTGGCGGCGGGTGGGCAGGCAGCCCCTCTCTTGAGATACTTCTGCTGCACTGCTAGGGGAAGCCGGAGGCAGCTGAGGAGGTGGCCTGAGGGAGGAGGAAGAGGAGGGGATGGGGAGGGACGCTGAAGGGTGGTACTTCAGCGGCTGCGGCGGCACCGCAACCACCTCATGCCAGGCTCGCAAATGAGAGTCTCTTTCCCTCCCTCCCTCTCTCTCGGGCAGGGAAGGGCCGATGGAACTCCTCGCACCAGGACAACGGCAGCCCCGATATGCATAAACTAAGCAAAATCCCTTATTTTGGCTCTGATCCCTTATTTTCAAGGCTGCTGGTCCCTTATTTTCAAATCTGTAAGTTGACAGCTATGATACACGCCATCTTCTGGCGGTGATCAGTGAGCCATTCTTCTAACAGTATGTCAAAATGCAAAAGCATTTCGAGCAAACCCTGGCTTTGTTACTTGTTCCAGCAAGCCCTACTCTAAAACACCCCCAGGAATGTTGATAAAAGTTTCTCAACACATTTAGAAAACCCTTTTCACAAAACCACAGGAAGGGATTGTCCCTAATGCACCCCTGGCATACCAAGATGCTCTCGGTATTATTTAAGTGCCAGCCATGTATGACACAGAATTCGTATTTGTTGACAAACTTAGGGAATATCACCGGAGGTCAGAAACAAGAGGCGGTTCCCAGCCACCCCTCGTTGTTTTCCAAAACTACAACATTTTTGCCTACTTAAAAAATGTGTGCATCATCTACGTTTTGCTACAGAGGCAGAACAGAATAAAGATAAAAAAGGACACCCTTATTGCCTTGCTGTTTCAGATGCGGGTCCATTTAGGCTGCAATCCCATTCCTGTTTACTTTTCAGTGAGACCCGCTGAGCTCAGTGTAGTTTACGTCTGAGTAGGGAAACATAGGGTTGCAATGCAAACCCACTGTTCCATTTCCAGGGTGGTGGTCAGCCAGCCAAAAGTAGGGTTTCATCCACATTTGTCCCGCCGCTTTCCCCCAGGAAGACCCGCAGTTTACCGCTGAATTTGAACCAAATGGCTACCGGGTTTTCTGCAGATTGCTGTTTGTTCCAATTCAGCAGTAAAGAGTGGGACTGTTTGTTTAGCCCAATCACTCATCAGTGTGCAGAATTAGTGAAATGGCCCAAAATGAAGGTATGATAGTGGCCAAGTGGGCAGAGATGGCAAGGATCCTGCACCTTTAATAAGCATGTGAAAAAAACAATTAAAAAAAACTTAATGAGAAATTTATAAAATAAACAAACCTTATCACATTCTTAGTATTTGCCCCTCTGCCATTTTCACAAGACCAACTATGTCTATGGGTGGATCTACACATGGGGGGGGTGCTATAAATAAGTCAGAAATTAAATCATTATAACAAAAGAAAAAAAACACTACATAAGAATCACATAGGAAATTCTTTTGTTCTTGGGCACCATCTGGTGTTGCAGGTTTATAACGCAATCAAAGCGTTGTTTTTTGACTAATGTGCCTGAGTCCTATGTATTCAAGTTTATATTAAATTCTCTTTAAAAAGTACCTACTGGCTACTCAGTGCCCTTTCTTTCTTTCTTTCTTTCTTTCTTTCTTTCTTTCTACAATTTTGGATTAGGTAAAGGCAAAGGGACCCCTGACCATTAGGTCCAGTCGTGGCTGACTCTGGGGTTGTGGCGCTCATCTCGCTTTATTGGCCGAGGGAGCCGGCGTACAGCTTCCGGGTCATGTGGCCAGCATGACTAAGCCGCTTCTGGCCAACCAGAGCAGCACACGGAAATGCCGTTTACCTTCCCGCCGGAGCGGTACCTATTTATCTACTTGCACTTTGACGTGCTTTCAAACTGCTAGGTGGGCAGGAGCTGGGTCCGAACAACGGGAGTTCACCCCGTTGCAGGGATTCGAACCGCTGACCTTCTGATCAGCAAGCCCTAGGCTCTGTGGTTTAACCCACAGCACCACCCGCATCCCTAATTTCAGACTACAGTAATCTAAAATATAAGAATGTGAGTTTTCAACTACAGCAAGCGAAATGAATAAAACACATTACATTATAATGGTTTGACTTAATTTGAGGCGTTGAGTTTAGATGGCATGGATTTAAAAAATGAAAATTTATATCAATGTCAGAAAATTATACATTTTCCTTTCCATCTTGCATCACAAAAATGTATTGCAACATTACGAGGGAAGAGGCGGTGTGTTTGCCTAGGGTGCAAAAGACCCTTACAATGGCGCTGACACCAGCCCTGCCTTCTTTTGCCTCTGGCCACCCCACAGCCTACCCACCTCAATAAGAAGTATGTTTTTAACAAGCATACCTGTCTTCCGCATTGGTACGCTCAGTGCAGGAAGAAGGTGGCCTCCCGGTTAACAAACATGCGAGTGTTGTGGTTGATTCAGAGATGCAGTGTGAACAAGCAGCCCCAAAGCCTGCAAAA